CACTAGAGCTATCTGCCTAAGGGGAGGAATGCCTTCATGGATGACTTTCTAAGGGAAACTGGCTTGTATACATGTTACACCTGGGGAAAACAACGAAAATGCCCATACAGCCAGCCCTTCAAGGGATTCGAACCTTGGACCGAACTAGTGGTGTTCAGCGACTTTACCGCTCCGCCGCTGGTGGGCCAACAAAGTTTAGAATGTGGGAAGTTCCAAAAGTGCATGTATAACAGTAGGACCAAATTTTAATTACATTATCAAATAAAATGAGATGTTATTTTGGGTGAATTTCAACTAAAATTATTTTAACTAATTTGTTTCTAAAGGAATCCTAAAAATTTCTTTTCAAGGAGAAAAGATTTGACTATAATAATGATACTATGTATAATATTTTTGTTTTTCTTTTGCATTAAATTAGCTTTAGATGAACTTTTTTTATCTTATGTTTAAATTAAAAAAAAAAAAAAGCTTTACAAAAATTTAGTTGCTATGAAATTAATCTTTTTCAAATTTTAGTAATGATAATTTCTAGGAAAATTAAAATTTGAAATTTATATTAAAAATAATGGTGTTTTTCTACTAACTCCATTGGTTGATCTCTCCTCAGTCTACATGCGCACAATTTAGTGTGATTTCAGATTTTACTTGCCACTGTAAATTTTGCTTTGTAGCACTAAAAAGAAAAATCATTCACTGCAAAAGTATTCTTAAATTCAAAAATAATTAAAAAATTGCTGAAGGATTTGATTGTGATAATTAAAAATTTCTTCTTATTATATATTAAAAATTAAGCTTGTTCTAAGTTTCGAAGGTAAAACAAACGTGAAAAACAAATTTTTTGAAATTTATTCTTAAAAGTATTTGAATGTGTGTTTAAATGTGAACAGATTTGATAACTGAAATCAATTTCAACAGTTGCACTGAAACCAGTATCTCTTTGAAATCTATATTTGTTATCTGTCCTTTTATTAAATTTATGATTTAAATAAAGCTCGCATGAAGTATTTTATGTGTGACTATCTAAATGACCAATCCTTTGTTTGTGCTTATTTGTATTTTCATACAAAAGCAAAAAACAGTCCCTTCTCCCCAATTACAGTTATGCTAAGCATCTTAGTTTTTTCTGCACTGTTACTTTTTCAACATTCAGAATGTCCAGAAATCTCATTTAACTGAGTGTCAGCTTTTTGGAGGTCTTTTAGTCCTGTCCCTACTATCTAACAATGTTGCCAATATTACATGTTATCAGGTATTGGCTTGGTGGAAAATCCAATGTTTTTTGAGCAAATTCAGTCTTTTCTTCCTGATGCTACTCACATATGGAATTTCAGGCATTCATCATTCATCATCTGCTCATGAGTTGGTAATTTTGAAATCCATGTTTCAATGGATTGTGAGCTAGAATGTGTCTTATCAGTCACTTGTATGTTACTGACTTCTGTAAGAATTTCTGAATTTCTTGCATTATTTAATTTTCTGCATTATTTTTACTGAATTTCCTGCATTATTTAATGCTGAAGCATAGTTAAGTGTTTCGCCACGATGTGTGTGCCTTATCATTTTAAGTGCTTCATTGCTGTTTATCTCAAGTTCAGCACAAAATTCAACCACATTCTTTTATTTTATTTTCAAAGGTACATGCTACACATGCTTGACAACAAAACATACAGAATCTGCAAGTGAATTGGAAGATTTTGAAATGTAAATAAAATTGCAAAATAACTAAATGCTATGATATACTTATTTTTATTAGAAAATATGCATGCTCCTTAGCATTTGCTGAACACCATTCCACTGATAAAATTAACCCTCTGAACTTTATGGATTTGCCTTGAAATTTCAAAGTTCTCCAGAATATCATGAATAAATGATATTTTGTGGATTATAATTTCAAAATTACCCTCTCGCCTTTTTACCTTGACTTCTGTCCTTCCATTATACATTCAGACCTGAAATCAGATACACCAGGAGCTGGAAATTTTTTTTGCATATTATGATTGGAAAGCTATTCTTCTATAATCTTTAAATTTAATTCCTTCAGGATGCCCTTTACTTCATCTTATGTGCTTATTCAGCTGATCAAAAGAACTTCTCTTACCCAGCTTAACGTCTTGGAAGTTTGTATCTGAACCAGTATTTGAACCTTCAGTTCTATTTTGAGAGGTGTTGGTGGTCAATACCAGCACTCATCAAATAAAAAGACAAGGGAAAAAACTGCACACACACTTTGAGTCTGATGATCATTCACATTGAATAACAATGTAGTTATCGTTGTTCTTTTGAAGACTTTCACAGCAAACACGTGTTGCTTGCCAGTCCAGGAATTCATCTCATACTGATTGCTATTCCAGGTCATACTTTGTGGTGCTTTTTCACTTCTGTATTGATGTTGAAAATGGTACACAGCATTACCTAATCATCTGTTTAATCGACCTTGTACTTGGTGCTTCTATGTTCTGTTATTGAATACTAACAACAGTGACTGTTGACACATTGCTGTAGAACCCTTTTGAAATAGAAGAGTTATGATGTCTAATATCAGAAAAGAGAAATGGAGACAATTTTTAAACTTTCAGTGTGGCCGGATAAATGGAGATATGAGAAGTGGTAATAAAAGTTTATTTAACATATCAGAGATAAGGATGATAAAAAAAGAGTGAAAACCACACGTTATAACAGTATCTTTTATTTACATGAATTGATTCTTTTTCTGAATGTATTTTAATATATCATAAACTGTTTTGTTTTAATGTTCTGGATGACATAGAGGCCATGGTAAGGAATCATTCTTGCACGTACTTTTGTGAGTAATTTGTATGTGAGACTGCTATAACATGTAGATGTGCACCTCCCTTTTTGGCTGCAATCGGCCGCATTAAAAGTATATAAATATATGTATATATATATATATATAGAGAGAGAGAGAGAGAGATGTATATATATATTCACTCTGTTATTCGTCTCAGTGAGCTCAGTTTCTTTATTCTTATATGCTTATAAATTGTGCATTTTTTGCTTTAAAAATGATTGAATTATGTTGTTCTTATCTTCCAATTAAGTTTTTTTTATGCGCATGTTTAGGAGTAGAATTATCACAATTTAGTTGTTTTGTTTAATTTTGTTTTTTTTTTTTTTTTTTTGTATCAAGCAGCCCGATTTGTTTCTTTGAAACTTAGCAGAATAGTGAATTTTTTGCCAATCTAGAGAAACTAAACTTTGCAACAACAAAGTAACTTCTTCTTTTAGTGCAATTAAATTATGCTTATCCATTTTGGAATTTCATTTAAGTTTTAAATATCTCATACCTGACTCAGCATGTAGCGTCACACAACAAGTTTTTCATTCAGTTTCAACCTCAATCTTTTAACTCAGGTTTGCAGTCAAAAAATCTGCCTTCTCCCACGGCATTGGCTTTTTTTGCGTAGAAACTAATTTAATTGGAAATATTTTTTAATTGTTTTAACTGTATTTGGTGTTTTCTTTTTTCTATATCTTTCAATTTTTATTATAGATATTTTGAATTTTTATGTATTTTTGTCTTGTCTCGAAGTAAGAACTGAAGTAATTGAATGAGAAATGCATCTCTAATGAAATTCGAGGAAATAAATTTAAATGAAATGCAGGAAAAAGTGCATTAAAAGAAATGGGTTAAGAAAATAATATGTACTTGCATTCTTCTTCAAATCTTTCTGTAATTTTGTTTGTGCTAGGCTTCTCCCAAAGTATGCAGTGATCAGTTTATGCTTTAAAAAAATCAGAGAATTGTGGTTACTCAGCTTCATGCATTCATTGGCAACAGTGGCTATTAAAGAAATGCATTTGCTTGTTGTTTCCTTTAGAAAAATTTCAGCAAAATTTTTTATTCTTACAGAAATTGTACCATAATTTCTTCCATTGCTGGCAAATTCCACAAGCTCATATTTTAAAACTTGGGCAAAAAATATTATGATTCATTTATAAAAACCATTGGATCTTGGAATACAACAAAAAAGAGCATTTACGAAAATGTTACCTTTTTATTTGGTTTCTAATTGCAATTCATTCATTTAAAAGTATAATTATTAATATGTTTATAATTACATATGAATGTTTAAACCATCTTGTTATGCATTGCAGGCAGTTGTATCTCAATTTGATTGTACCTGATAAAGATTTAGTTATGCTTATATTTATTTACAAAATTTTTTCAGGATATCATGATTGAACTTTATCGTCGGAATATCTGGAGAGATGCAAAAACTGTGAATGCTATAGCTACAGCATGCTTTTCCAAAGTTAACAAAGTAATGTTTTTAAAACTTTTAAATTTCAAGTATATGCTGTAAAGTTAGTTTTGTGTCCTTAATTTTCCTTTTTTTGTCCTCTCTTTTTTTAATGTCATATTTTAGTTCTACAATTTTTCTTTAATATGTTATATAAAATTAACGTTATATTCAACACTGAGTGTGCATTATAAAGTAATTTAAATTTTACATCATTTTTTTAAAATTACATGTGCCTATAGATGGTAGTAATTTTCGGAATAGTTAAGAATAATAAATTAATATTAAAAATAAGAAAAGTTTACTTGACCAAAATACCAAACGTATGAATGAATAGGTTAAAAAGTGATAAATTAAATTTTAATGAAGCAGGAGCAAATGAAATTAATAGCTCCATCTAAAGAACCTGAAGTTGTTATGCATTAGAGAATGTAATAAATTATATAAAACACAGTAAGCACACAATATGTATACAACACAAGATTATGCTTAATTACTTTACATTTTATTTAATAGTGCATAGACAAAGGATATCAAATAGTTCTTTACTTATTCATGTAAAGTATATTCAAATAATTTGTAAAAGAATATATATATTTATCAATCAGTTGTGGAAGCGGGTGGAGATATTCTGAAAAACCATCTTGTATAGAAATTTTGTACATTTTGACTTTTAATGTGTGCATGTTAGTAAGTGCATGTGATTTTTAATGGATGTACATTTTATTTTAGATACTAGTAGCTGCCCATCAGTTTTTCTTGGGTGTTGATAAAGAAGACGACGAAGAAAAGAGCGATAGCAGTGAGTCTGAAGTAAGTATAAGGATCTTTTAAGTACATGTAATAAGAAATGTTATTTTGAATAAATACTGGATAAATGTATAATAATAATTAACTAATAAAGTGATACTGATAAAATAAGACATTTCTATGAACAAAACATTTTTCATAAGAGGTTTCTTGCACTCTCCAAAGTATGTCAAGCAGTAGTTCTTGCACCAAAGTATGTCAAGCAGTAGTAATTAAAAAATGCAGTCTATTAGTATTTTAAATAAATTTATGAGTTTTTCAAAAAATTAAATTTTAATTCTAAAAATTAATGGCATTTTCCTCAGTTAAAGCAGTAAAGTATGGAATTTTCTGAGAAATATTAAATTATATAAAGCAAATGTTCTTTTATATGCTTTTCTTATCCAGGAAGACATATTCATTTAATAGATTTCTGCGATATGGTACACTCTAAACTCGAAAGAGTAGTATCCGACTCTAAAGGACTGATATCCCACCTCGCTCTAATACCAAAATGGCACCCACCTCGAAGGAGGGACTTCACTCTAGTAAAAAGCGGTCCCTTCTCACACAAAAAAAGGAGTGACCCTTTCTTTGTTCGCTCTTTTCGATAGCGAGATATCGTCCAATATTCGGGTGAAACCACAGACGTTACAAGGAGTTATAATACTCTGCTCACTCCTTGATGGTGTGATTTTTATATATTTATATTATTTGCAAACTTAAAATTGGTATTTGCTGTATGTAAAGTTTATGGCTTAGGTAAAGTTTTAGATTTCTGGTTAATATTATCTCTCAAAAAAAAAAAAAAAAAAAATTACACTACTTTTTGACGTGCTATTGTGATTTTAAATATGTGGCATATACATCTGTTTTAGATTTGCTATCTATGTACTTACAAAAACAGTATTGGTGATAAAAGACTTTAAAACAAAAGACCATCACTGAAAAAAAAGCACATTTAAGACAATCATATCTTCATTGTTTGGACATATAGTTTTTCTTTCCAAATCTAACAAAATATATATTTCAAAAAATTACATCCACACTAAAATATTAGAAATTCGGTGTCATATTGCTATATCTAACATTCTGAAATACTTAACACTATCACTATCTCACAGTACTTCTGATATGAAATTACTTTGAATACACAGAATATATTTTATTTTACAAAAACATGGTTTTCGCTTTTATCTATGTGTAGTAAGTAATAAAAATAAGGAAATCAATGCAACTTATACATAACAACTGGAATAGCAAGAAATTCGAATTGAAAACTTGGTTTTTGAATAAAAAATAAGGTCTTTCAGGTACTTAAAACTTTGAATAACTGTATCAGAAATTTTCAAAATTTGATTTGAGAAATCAAAATGCTTAGTTTATAAAGTATTTCTCCTGCCTTCTTGGCATGCCTTTGTGGTGTGGTGGTCTGCACGCTGGGCGCGTGTTCCAGAGGTCCACGGTTCGATTCTCAGCGAAGGCGGTTGCATATTTTTCATCTTTCCTGCTTCCAAAAAAAATATCTAATGCCTCAACAGGTTTCATAACAGAAATTAAAAAATCATAACGTAGTGATAGACATTCTGAATTTTGCATACATATTTTAATTTTAAAAAAACAAATTATGATTATTCATTTTTCACCAAATTAGAACATGCAATCATGTAAGCTAAGTTTCCATTAAAATGCGAAATTATTTATTAAATATTTCTTGAAAAATTTATAGTGAAATTTTATCATGAAAATTTTGAATGCGTTAAAACACTGATTGTTATATATATAATTATATATAATACTGATCAGCTATATATATATATATATATATATATATTGTTACGTTTTTATCTTCTCTGACACCAGTTGTTACATTATTTTCTTCCTTCACGTTCGTACGGATTTGGAGTGAAGTCAATCGAGCAGAAGAACAGCATGGGAAAGTTGTAGACACATCCACGTATGCGCAAATTTAGCTTCTCCCATTGGCCACGGCTTACACCCTGTTCTGGCAAGTGTGAATAAAATTCCCTTATTTTAAGCCCTTATGACTACGCCTCTATGCCCCTTACTCCGCCGTCTGAACGCAGCCTAACACACTCTCTCGACGATGCACTAACGGCGATACACTATGAGACTCTTTCGGTGCACTTGACGACCCACTCGGCACTTGCTGCCCGGCTGTCAACTCGATCAACTCCGCAGGGATCAACTCCGCAGGGATTGACTCGCTAGACGACACACCAACTCGATACTAACTATCTTACACTCTAGACGAGGTACTCTGACTCGCCGTCTCGATGAAGCACACACTCGATACTAACTCACTCTCTGCGTACCGGCAGGGTTTATATAGCTTTTGGCTGGTGTTCGAGAACTTCTGGCTAAACCGGTAAGAATTTGTTCCAGAGGTTCTCCATCCATCATGGTATATCGCCATTTGTCGCCAAATGTGCAACCCTGCCTTCCCTGCATTTTATGGCAACCCTAAAACTGCTTTATGGGGAGCTATCTACTGCGCCTGTACATTTCGTACAATATAATGTCTCATAAACCTTATTAATCTGCTATATTTAACTTCCTAAAATGCTACTTATTGAATACTTTTTAATAAAATTTGTGAATTATGTTCTGGTAGTTTGTCTACTTGAGCATATATCATAAAAAATCAATAATAAATTTAATACCATTGAAATAAAAAATGTGAATTTAATTTCTCTTACATGAAAATTATTCAGCTTTATTGCAATGTGTGAGATTCAGAAAATAGTACCAAAATTCTCATGCTATGTTTTTAACTTCATATATTGCAAAAAATGTGAAAAAGAATGTTTCTATTTCTTATAACAAAAATGAAGACTTAAAATTAATTAACCTATTTTCCCCAAATTATAATAAACTTAAACCAGTTACTATACACTTTTTACTTTTGAGAAGTTATACATATACAAATTCCTATACCTTATCATTCAGGGAATAAATGTTTCATATATTTTAGACTATAACTTATGTATATGTAATTCTAATTCCAAGTCTCATATGAAAGAAAAAGTAAATTTAAGTTAAATATATAGATTTGCTCAAAGTTAAGATAAAATTCAGTTTTATAATTTTGGGCCGAAAATTCTTATGTATTTTATTTATTGATTAAATATAAGTAGAAATCAATTAAAACTGCAGAATAATTATTTCCATGAACAAATAATTTAAATATAAATAAAAACAAGCAATGTCTGAAACTTTTTATAGGAAATATATGCACATACAATATATAAATGGATATATGACACTAAAGATATGGCAATAAAATACATGCAAAAATGACATTAAAATCTAAAAAATAATAAAAAAAATCTATTCAAGGTAATTAATTTAAAACGATACGACTCACCAGAGAATAATAAAGTATATGATTTTTATTTTGATGACATGCGCAATTCTAACAAAAATTTCCTCACTTGTGTTATAAAAAATTAAAACTATAGTATGGATTTATTTCACTCTGTCTTCCTTTTGAATTAAAAATGCATGCAAAAATTAATTTAAATAAAAAATCGATAGTGTTGTGTAAATTGTAGAAAATAAAATAATTTTAAGAAGTGTTTACAAAAGTACCATCCATGCATATAGGTTTATCGTGTAGCAGTATGTAATAAAAAATAAAAAAAATAAAAAAAAAAAAAAAACACTACATTACAGCATTGCACTCTAAAGCAAATTTACAGATACTTTCAAAAAAGAGCAAGCTAAAACTACTTTTTAGTACATCCTTCAATTTTTTACACATAAACTATACTATAATATTACTAACTATGACTATAATTTATTATGCTTAAAATATTTATATTAAGAAATAACTGTATGTATGTTTTAAAAGCGAACTTACTTTTGGCAAAGGAGGTGCATCCATTGTTACGACTGTCTTCGATTGAAATGGCGAGCTTCAGAAAACATGTTCGGGCACTCTGTCTCGATAGGGGGTCATTCTGTCTCTCAACTCACTTCTTTCTCCATTGTCATAATTGCAGGTGGCGAAACATATTCTGTTACTAAGACAGTAAACCTGCATTGTTTAATGCGAAACAGAGCAAAAGCTGCTGTCACTCTGCAAATCCCACTCTGAGGGATTTAGAGTGTAACTCAGTTCATTTGGCAAAATCATGGCTTGCAGGTGCTGCTGTTCAAACTAGGATGGCCAAAATTCAGTCAATTATTGCACATTGTTCATGTTCTGAAGCTGTCTAAAGGAAACATTACAAGAGTTCAAGCATGAATAAGTAATAGGATGCAATTTTAACTGTTACATTAAAATGGCAATGTTTATCTTTGTAATGACAATTTTTTACGGAATACTGTTTGTAAAACCTTGTTTTTTTAGGTTCTGAGTTGAAATATGTAGTTATATAAAATTTTATTTTTCACTCATCATAAAATATCTGTGCCACCTCTTCAATAGCCGTGATTTTAATGGCATTGTAAATAGAAACTTTGCAGGTGTTGACTTTTTGTTTGATCCAAGACTTTATTATTACAGACGTAATCAAGTTCTGGCATAGGATTAAAAATAAATAAATAAATAAATAAATGGGGGAAAGAGAAATTTTTTATTAAGTCTGTAATAAGAAGCAAAAGTCATTTACCTACTTAATAAATCTAAAAGTTTATGTATGATTGTAATTGATGCATTCAAATCTTATTTGTTTAATTTGAAAATGCCCAAGTCTTAGCACAGTATCTCCAAATAATTTTTTATACCATATTTACTAAAGTCAAAAGTCTTTAATCTGGACTCACCGGGACTTCGGCGATTCCGGATTATCGGTTTTTCCGAATTATAAATCGTCAGTTTAAATCTGGTAAAACGGCATGCAGAAATTATAAAATTAAAAATATGGAACCGTAATTTATGTCAAGCAATTATGATCTAAAGGGTATCAAAATTTACAAAAAAAAAAAAAAAAAAAAGCTTAATATTTATTTGTTTACTTCATTAAACATTTGTTTCAACGCACGCATGTGTAAAGCATACATTACGCATAGTCGAAATTAGAAAATTGCAACCAGAAAACTGTTTGATGTGTATTCCTGATATTTATAATGACGAGGAATTTGATTTAAATCATATCAAAGACGGAGTACATCGAGATGACATACTACATTTAGTAAGGAATTATAAACTGAATAAAATAGAAACATCTGCCCTGAAGATAAGGATAGTGCTGAAAGATCAACTTCCAGTTCGTTGCACGCCGCGATGCCCCCGCCCCCCGCAGAGCAGCGTGAAATTGATAAACAGATTTTGGAATGGTTAGAGAAACGAAGAATATGCCTTTAGCCATTTTTTGCAGCAATTCCACTTTTTGTTTGATAAACATCAAAAATGCTTTCGCTTTATAGATCCTTTGGCAGCTCCAGAATTGGAAATTCTCTTTGATATAATCGAAAGTTCAAGCTTACTTTTATAAAATTGCTGTAATAGTAACAGTCTGCAAAAAATAATAAGCCGGATCCAATTAGATAGATTAAAGAAACAACACAATCTGCAACATTAACTGAAATAGATAATTAGATAATTTTAGCTTAGCTTATACCGTCCGTTATACATTAAACACGCATGCGTAAACGTAATATGCGCATACGTAAACATATATGTGCATTATATGCTTTTACTCATGCACAGAAAGTTTGTAGCTTTGAGGTCCGGATTATAGATCATTCCAGTATATGGAATCCGGATTAAAGGCTTTTGACTGTATAATATAGGATTTGGAGACTTAATTTTGAAAAATGATGTTATTAAAATAAATCTTTTAGGCATTGCATAATTAAAACGTTTTCTTTTTTTTTTAATGATATATAATCTAATAATGGCTGAGTACTAATATTGAATATTGCAGGATGATACTCCTACTGTTAGAGAAGTGATGAATGCTAATAAAGTTAATAAGAAATCTCGACGAAGAATGAGAATTCTCAAGAGAACTAAGCAAGTACTAAAGGTAACAATCATATCCAATTTCCTCCCTTTAGTTTTAGCAATGCTTGTTGCAAAATAAATATCATCAGAATATTCCTTGCGATAAATGTGATAATCAGTAACTCATATATTATAATTCAGACACTTGAAAGATTTGCTGATATGTTTTGGCAGATGATGATTTTTGCCATAATATATTGTTTTAAATGGAAATTCAACACGAAAATTATCGTCTTCATTCAGAAATCGTTATTTGTTTAACAATTTCTGTATCTAAAGTGAACATGACAAGGTGCTGCAAATTAACTATATGTTAGAAATTTAATTATCCATCACTTTAAAGGTGGGCAAGCACATATTAAATATCCAAACTTTCTTGATATAAAATGTTCCACTATTGCTGGTGTTATAACATAATGGAAATTGTGTGGAATTATTGAAAATACAAAGGAAGTGGAGATTTATGTTAAAAATCAAACAAGACAAAATTTAATGCTGTAAAATTTGCATCAGATTTAGAAGAACGATTTGCAATAAAACTTAACCCTGAAACTGCTAGAAGAGTCATTAAAGACGTGGGAGTAAAGCGTATAGAGGCATAGTCATAAGGGCATAAATACGGAACATCCGTTCAAACCTGTGAGACAGGGCTCTAAGCTGTGGCCAATGAGAGAAGCTAAATTTGCGCATGCGTGTATGTGTCTACACCCTTCGCATGCCGTTTTCTAGCTCAATTGCTTTCTCGCGCTCTCTCTGCTTGTTTTTGTTATTTTTTGACATGGCTTTTTCAGCTCACTACAAAGTTTTACTGGTTCAACAGAATGCTCTTTTATCTGCCCTTGTTATAAGCCAAGAGGCAACGGAAGAAGGTAAAATGAAATGGTCTAGAGATATTTTTTTGAAAGACCAATACTTGTTGGCACATATATTTTCTGTGCAAAGCAGCATGGAATATTTCTGCATTGTACTGTATTACTTTCTATACTATAAACATGCACATTCATATTTATATATATAAAACCTTCTTCAATTTTTATGTATAATTTCTCTCAGGAGAAATACGATATTCTAAATATGCCTAATTAAAAAAAAATCTTGAGGATAACTAACAGATAGCCTGTATATAATATTTTTCAATTTTGCAGGTGTGAAAGCAGTTAAGCTAAAAACAGTACTTACTATACATTATTATTATTTTTTTTTTAAATTTTCAATCAAAAGGAACATGTTTCTGTGACAGTGAAACATGTGTGCTTAGTACTCCTTATTCATTTTCCCTGTCGATCACTATAGTAGTTGGCTGCACTACCAGTATCAATTATCACTAGTACTAGTATCCCACAACTGGTCACAATTACCAGCAACCACAACTAGTACAATACTCGGAAACGCTCACCCAACAATGTATTTTGTGCTCAATCATTAAATACATTTTGCTGTGTTGACAGCTGTTTGTATCCATCTGTTTCTAATAATTTGCATGTGTAAGCCGCACCCCTGAATTTAATTTCAACATATGCTGTCATTTCTATTTACGACCAAATCTCAAAAGTAATTTCACAGACAAATTTTAGGTAACCAAGTCTTCAAATACAACAAAATTATAAACATTCATACCTTATCCAGGAATTTCTACCAGAGAAATAGCATGAATTTAATGATCAAAATTCCACTCAAATGATAATAATAAAGAGTAATAATAAAAGTATAATAAAAGTAATAAAGAGTGGATAATAATAACAAATACTATTCATTAAATTATAGTCCATGTTATGAATTATGTGTGCTATTCACTTTCATTAAAAGTAAATTCCTTTCATGGAGAACGTAATTAAAAAACACAACACACCTTCAACAGGAGACAAAACTGTCTAGACTGTTGTTTTAAGGATATTTCACTACACTTTATCCTTCTTGGAATTCATAAGAGCATTTCCTCAAAAGATTAATCTTTTATTACTTATACAAAGCTTACTCCATTGAATTGACTATTGTGACTATTCTTAAATAAGTGAAAATAAAATTTTTTTTTTAAAGTAATATTTTTACTGTTAAAAAAAACAGCAGATTCTTGATATTGACTTGATGTTTTAGTAAAATTAATTCATGAAGTTTGTTTGGAAAGAAAATCAGCATATGAAGCAAATAGCAATACAATATTTCCAGAAATTTATTCTTAAATACAAAAATAATTAAACAGGAAAAAAATGATAGTACTAATTTTAAAAAAAAATTATAAACAGAAAGAAAGTAATAATAATAATTTTCACAGAAAAAATAAAAATTTTGCAAGCATGCATTTTTTAAAGAATTTTCATAATAAAATGAAAAATATTGGATGGGATTAATCATCTACAGGATCATACACAGCATGCATAATCCTGAGCTTAACTTTCGCTTTACGAATTTCATCCATATTTTTCAATATAAATTGAAAAACTTATTAAAAATGCATGTCATCATCGTAGATTTCTTACGAGATCAACTCATTATTTCGTTCGGATATGATGTGCTCCATATTAAAAAAAAATGTCGCCTTCGATGTGACAGCAAAATCGTCTAAAAAAAGCCGCTTCGTTTTAGCTTCGCTCTGATTGGTCGACGCTTATCCCAAACTCGGCGTAAAGTTGAAAACTTTGAACCCTATGCCACGAGCCCTAAACCAGATTCTGTGACGTAGCAGAGACTGGTTGCCTTGCCAACGGAGCTCGGCTTTAACCACTTATGCCCTTTACGCCCTCGTCTGAACGGCGCCTAAAGGCACATAAATACAGAAATCCGTCAAGAGGAAAGTTTTTTGTTAACAAGAAAACAAGGGAAATACTCCTAGTATTCATAAAATGGATGGTAAGCAAAGACGAAATAATATCATATTGAAACAATATTATAGTTTGCAGACAAATGAAAATTGAATATATTTAGATGTAATAGATGCCATTTAACCCCTTCGCGCCGACTGTCACATATACGTGCCAGCAACGAACACACTTACCTACCGGCCGACACGCAGGCGTGCCAGAGGATTGTTCCGTTCTCTACCGACTGTCACGTATTTGTGCCAGTATTTTGGAACGTTTTTCAAACTATAATTTCTGCCACAAGATGGCACTGTATGTCCATATGGTTTCAGATACATGTACATTAGACCTTCTACTCGCAATGAGAGAAGCATGACTCACATACACGTGTTTTTGATTATATAAACAAACGGGGAAATAAATGTTTCCGAATGGCGTGATTTAGGACGTCTCTTTAAATCGCACTTTATTCGCACGTGGTAGTTGTTTACTGTAAGTAGAGAAGTTTTATTTGCTCTAAAGCATTGGGTATTTCGGTTTGCAGTTCAGTTTTTAGAAAATAATTAGATCTTGTTAGACTTGAATTCTTTGTTTTTACCTTTGCAATGTCGAAGCGTCGAAAATGTTTAACAGAGCATGAAATAGCAGAAATGATGCAAAATATTTCAGATATTGATTCTGAAATTCTGATATTGATTCTGAAAGATTAACTGAAAGACATTTTCCAAAACTTTGTTCAGAAGAGACTGATAAGAAAAATGAGACGACGATGCTTCGTTTGTTTCACATTCCTGGAAAAAATCCTCCAAAACGGCAAATGAGTTATTACGAGTGCAAGGAATGTAACGTAGGACTGTGTGTAGATCCCTGTTTTCAAATTTTTCATACGAAAAAGAGAATTTTAAGTAATATATTTAGTTTTCAGATGTGTAATGTTAAAATTCATAAAATGGTGAGTAATTAAAATAAAATGTGTAAAATATGCATTTAAACAAGAAATAAGGTAATTAAAGTATATATATAAAAATATCTATAAAGCATAAGCCGTTTAAATACTCTGTAGAGCATTATTAAACAATGCGTTGATACTTCGGAAATTTCATGGATTTAGGCTTAATAGCAAAAAAGCCCCCGGCCCTGTAGATACGCTCGCATAAGACACTGCCGGCCTCAGCGATGAGCGCGCGTTTTCGCTACCCGGCTCGAAGGGGTTAAAGAATTAAATGCAAAAAACCTAATGCCTACTGTTAAGCACAATCTTGGAGTATTTTGCTTCCTCAGGGATAGAAAATTTAGATTTTATTGAAAATAATATGGATCACTTTAAAATATAAATATTATTAACCTGAAATGAATATAAATGAAAACCTGAAAGCATCAATTAGAAAACTTGGACTGCAAATTACATTAAAGTTCTGTCAGGATAATCATTAACAAATGGCCCTAAATGTTCATATGTGGTTGTTAGGCAACTCTTCTAAAGTTATAAAAATTCCTCCACATCCTCAACTTAAAATTCTGTTGAACGTGTTTTGAGGGAGTTGGTGAAAGAATAATATTTCTTGGCAAGCTATACAAAAAGTGATTCTTATGGAAGAAAGAAACAAAATGAAATGGGCTTACATTAAAAAAAAGTTAAATTCATGGCAAAATGCATTAAAAATGTAATTTGAACTGAAGGATATCCAGCAAAATATGTGAATGTTCCATAACTTTCATGCTTATATCAAATACAATACACAGTCTGAGATTCAGACTCGTCAGGATTTGGACAAGTTTGGATTTAGGATTATTCCAGATCATCAGTTTAAAGCTAGGAAGATGGCATGTAGAAATTATAGAATTAAAATTATGAAATCCTGATTTGTGAAATAATGAAGCATTTATGATCTAAAGGTTAACAAAATTAAAAAAAAAAAAAAAAAAAAAAAAAAAAAAAAAAAAGATTATTGGTTTACTTTATTAAACATTTCTTTCAATGGGAGTTGTTTAAGTTGCTTTCTTTTGTGCTAATATTTTCTCTTTAATTCTATAGACAGACTTCTAGAATTTCTTATTCAGTTACAAAGCTCCATCATTCAAGTCCTGTAATTGCTGTGTCGAGAATACTGACTAACTTGTCAATCGAAATTTTTTCGTTTTCAGTAACCTCTCTGTCACTTTCTTCACTGTCGGTAGTGGTATTTTTTTGGATTTAGAACCATACTACAGATTTCGCCGTCCGTTAATTGATTGATGATTAGGGCATTGTCATCAAAATGAAAAACTTCTGTTATATAATCTTCATTTATTACTTATTCTCCACATTTCTTTACAAAATCCAATAACTGGAAAATTTTACCTTTAGTTTGCGATCCGAAAACCTTCACATTTGCGGCTGTCATATTCATCATTCCTCAACATGAAATATGGTAGCTGGCCATAAATTATGCCAAGCATTTTTTAAAGTATCTGGAGACACATCCTCCCACCATCTTGCAGTGCTCCACAAAGCAGATTTTATGCTAAACTATTTCAAAAATTCGTGAATAGTCTTGTCATTATCCACGAAATTTAACATGGATTTTAAAATTTCTACTTTATATTTGCATTACAGCACATTCACCATTCCGATATCCATAGGCGGAATGATAGACATACAATTTGGAGGAAAAAATAATATGAATACATTATGTTTCACTAAAACTTTAAGGGAAATATGAGCCAAACAACTGTTTACAATCAGAATAATTTTTGCATCATCAGGTAAACCAACCGAATTCTGCTGAGCTTCTGATATGAAATGATTTTCAGACCAATCATTCATTAGCACTCGTGTCATCCGTGCTTTTTTATTTGCACGATAAGTAACAGTTAAAATCTTTACTCCTTTAAATGCTTGACGTTATATATTTTTTTCTATTATGAAACGTTTACACTTGTGCATTCCTACAGCATTTGCACATGCTAAAATTGTCAATCTCGCACTGGAATCTTTGACACCAGTTGGAGCCTTTTCTGTAGAGGTTGCGAAGGTATTTTGTGGTACATATTGCCAGAAAGGGCAGTTTCATCAGTGCCGTAAATTTGTTTTAGACATAATTTTTTACTATTAATGAATTCAATGAATTACTGTGCAAGTACTCCAGCAGCTTCAGTATTAGCTGACGTTTTTCACCTCAAATTCTTAATTAATTGCCTTATACCATGGCAATTTTTAAATTTGATTAACTAACCTGTCAAATATGTGCACTCAGTTTTTAAGTTTATTTCTTAATGAAATATTTTAGCTTGAGCTATATGCATTGGACCTGTCAATGGCATGCTCTCACTGCAATGCCGTCTCACCCATTCAGTCATCACTTTGATCATATCGAATAATTTTTCTGTTATTCATTGCAAGTGGATGTCGGATCCACAAAAATTTCAAAAAGTTGATTTTTCTGTTTTCTTATGGTATATACAATTGATTTTCTAGTGCCATACTTCTACATAATTTTGAGACAGATATACCTTCATCCATTTTTTCCAGAGATTCCTTTTTTTTTTGTTTAATGGACATTGAAACATGCTTTTGCTTCATGGATCCTGTTGCAGTTCCAGAATTAGAAACTCTTTTCAACATAATCGAAAGTTCAAACTTTAATTTTCATAAAATTGCTGTAATAAAAACAGCCTGCAAAACATAATAAGCTGGATCAAATCAAAAGTCCAGGAATAGTGCAACCTACTATATTGACTGAAATTACTTAGAATCAGTCAAAGTATAATTTTAGCCTAGATTATTGTAGGAATTGTAGAAACATCTGCTATACATTATTGGATCATGAGATTGGAGACGAAAGACAAGTTGATCTGCTAAATTTTGTCTTCCTTCTATCATGCATTGGACAATTATGCCTGAATTGTATTAGTTTAGTTATTTATTATACTTAGATCTATTTCTTCCGTATGTTTTGAGCTTATCTAGGTCTTGAGCAAATAAATTCCTACATATACTTAAGGCTTATCAAAGGCTGGTACTAGACATCTTACCACTTGATGCAGTCTCTGTGGGTACTAAGTTACTTGTTATTACCAGATTCTCATTGCACCAAGGGTTTTGCATGTTCTCATGAAATGTCCACTGAACAGGAAAGTATCATTCCCCTTATTTTGATTCAGTAATCATCCATTAATATGAAGTGTATGTTAATGAAAGTTCAGCTGTACATTGTTAATTTTAATAACCTGTAACTAGGTATTAATTTCAAAAGTATGCATGCTGTACATTGTTAATAATTTCCAAAGTAAAAAGCAAATTTTTATTTCAAAAAGTATGTATGCATATTTTTTGTGTATTTTTTCCCTTATTATTTATTTATGGCTAGAATTCTTAAAAAACATTCTAGTAATATGTTACTGTGTTTGCTGAATTGAAAATATTTAAATGAACATATTCTTCAGTATGCTTTTGATTAATGAAGGACACACTTTAAAAAATAAACATCAAGAATATAGGCTAAAGAAGGTAACAGTGTGTTTCTACATCAAATGAAACAAATGCAAATGAAAAATTAAATATGGATAAAATATTTAAAATCTTCTGAATTGCATAAAATTCTGAAGTAAAAAGAGAATTATTTGGCTAATTGGGTTGTTGGACTAAAAGCACACTAGTAAACTGATGAAATAAACAAATTATATAATTTACCTTTTATTTTAATGCTTTCTATTTTGCATGTATGTAATGTGTATTTTCTTTTTATAGAAGGTTAGAATTTTTTAACCTTTTATTCCACTTGGATGCATATTAATGGCTTTGTGCAATTAATATGCATCAAGCTGTCCTTGAGTAGATAGACCAAATTTTAGCATTGTTAGTTGTTTAATTTTTGTGCACTGTGTAGTTTCAATGTATGTCATGTAAATTTTTTTATCAGAGGTTTTCAAACTTTTTAACCTTTTATTTCCTGGTGCATTAATTAATGTGGCCAAATTTTGACATAGTGGTTTATTTATTTATTTATTATAATTTTTCTCTTAATTTTGCATGAAATTCACATATAAGTTTTATTTATTTATTTATTTATTTTTTTTACGGAAGGTTTAACATTTCATATTCCATCTAGAAGTATATTAATGGCTTAGAAGCAATCCGTGAATAAAATGACCAGATTATTGCAGCATATGTTGTGGGCCAAAAATAAGCAAAAAGTGTGAAAATACAGTGAGTGAAACAGCATACAATGAGAAATTTTGCACCAAGGGAGAAATTTTCAGTTTGTGAGTTATGTCAAATTAAATATTAATGACAGGTAGTCGTGGAAACTAGCAGCCTGCTCCGTCTAGAAAAGGCGAAAACATGGAGCTGTGCAAAGAAATGATTGGCCTGCATAATTTCGGGCTGTTACAGTTAAATAGGGGGTGTATTAAGGATCAATTAACTTTTTTAAGTCTTGTATTTCTCATCATGCATTCGAAGCAATTTTTTATTCATGTGTCATTCATCTTTGGCCATAGAATGCACTTCTGAGTTTAGTGACTATCTAACACTTCGTATAAGAACATATATCTGTGTCTAATATGTGAGTATATTTTATATATCTTTGAGCGGTGCAAATATTTTTGTTCAGTTTTATTATTATTTTTTAAACAATATTTTTTTTTAGCATTCCTAAATATTCATTTATTTTTTTTTTAACATGTATGTATATTTGTGTAATTCCAGAAATCTAAGAAAAATAAAAACAAAAAAGAAGTTTTTGATTTTTATGCAATACATCTTTTGCATGATCCTCAAGGTTAGTATTAAATCTTTTACGTCATTTTTAACTTTAATTAAATTGATCTTACTAATGTAATATATTTTAGTTTTAACTGTTCAGTTTTAATTATCTTTTTGATAATTATTCATAGCTAAAACATTTTGTGTTTACATTTTTTGTTTATTGTGGTTGTATATTATGATTTATTTTATGCTTTTTACTTAATTTTAGCTCATATAATTATAATAGTAAATGCTCTAATCATAATCAAATGGAAGGAAAACTCACTAATATAAGGAAAAAAAAAAAAAAAAAAACCTGATTTTGGCATCAGGTTTTAATACAGCTCGTTGAGTTTGGATGGTGATCAGACACAGATCCCTCTTCTTCAGGAGCATTTTTTTTTTTTTTTTTTTTAAATGCAGGTAATTTTTAGTAGGTGTGCTGTAAAACAAATGGTCCATAACAAGAGTAGTGGAGCCCATTCTATTTTTCTTTGATTTAACAGATGGTCAGTCTATGTATTTGTTGTTTTTATGTATGTTTAGCTTCTGATCAACAATATCACCAACCTTTTTTCTAATAATTTCAAGAAAATAGACTTAAAACATGCTATATCTGCAATATATTTCTTTACTCAATGATGTCTGATGATATTTGAAAGTGCATTAGAATTGGTTTAAATGCAACTAATTTCATGCAAAACTTGTTGTTATCTAGTTTAACCCTTTGCATTTTATTTGCGAATAGTTTTATGCTAAGATTAGCTGCTTTTGTGCCCAGCCGTATAAAATGTTTTTTATAAAAAAGGAAAATGTGTGATTATTTTAAGGCATTCAGTAAGTGTAATTTCATGGTCCCAGCTGATATTTAATAATAATAGAGTTGAAGAACAGCATTTATTGCTTTTAAGTTGCTTAGTTTGTTAATCAGTAACAGACAGATTAAATTTGAAGTAAAAATTAAATACCTTATGCTTTGCCAAGCATAAGATAGTAACATTAGGATAGGAAGATGATAACATTTTGGAATGAGATAATATATTGGAAGGTAATAAAATTTATTTTGCACAGTAACAAATTACTTTAAAATTACAGAGTTTGTTAATTAAATTTGAAACATAAATATCTGAAGCTTTTGCAGTTGACGACTCATTGCTTTTAAATTGCAGACTTTTTTAAATCAATAGTTGGTTTTAAGTGCCTACTGTTTTACCATAATAGGAAGATCATATATATGTACAGATTCTTCATTATTTAGCAATAAAGCTTTGGATCTGTAATTTTAAATTCTTTCTTTACAATTCTTTCTTTTTTAACATAATTACATACTATATTTTTAATATGATCTATGTTACGTTTTAAGTTTACAGTTTCTTCTGATTTATTTTCTGAGCTCATTAAGCATTCATTGCTATTTATAGAATTTAGGACAAATAATTATAAGCTATTTTAAAAACACTTTGAAATTAAAATATGGGATTGGGTAGTTCATTAACATGATTAAATATTTTGCTAATAGCTCTGTTGGTAGTATTACTTAATGTATAGTTTCTCACTCCCCCCACACTTCTGGAGTGATTGAATGGTATTTGTAAATAAATTGAATAAATTTGATAAAATATCTGCTTCGCTTGCATTCTCAATAGTTTAATTTTAAATTGTATATTTGAGTATTCCATAGTAAACAGTTCTTTGTAAGTTAAAATTTTATTGTAGTCTTGTATTTTAATAAAATGTATCCTTTTTAACAATATTTTTTATACGTAATTTTAATAATAATAGATACTTAACAATATTTTATTATATGTAATTTTAATAGTACTAGATACTGATACATTACTTAAATATTTTAATTAGAAAGGTAATATGATGAGATGATATATATTTTAGCATCATTTCCTTCTTTATTTTTATTGTAAGAAATATTTTAATAGGAATGGCGGAGAAACTTCTGAAAATGCTTGAGGGAATGAATGAGCGATATGAAATTAAAGTTATGGTTATGAATTTTATTTCAAGGCTCGTTGGTGTTCACTCAGTAAGGAAGTCCAAATTCATTAAAGTTTATAAATAGTAAAAATATGTTGATTTTTTCTGAAATGTTTTTAATAGAAGTTAATTATGATTCTGAGGCTCTATATTTAACAGAAAAACAAATTGCTGTACATGATTAAATATTTTAGTTTTTAGCGAATTCTGAACTATATTTAATTTTGTCATTAAAATTAATTAATTTTATGGAAGTATCATTACAAAAAATTCTATCTTGTGTACTTTGGTTTTCGTAAATTAAAGAACAAATAGTAAAGCTACAGTAAATGAAAACTGCACAAAGGTTTTTAATAAACTATAATGTAATTGAATTTTATTACATAATTTAAATAACCACTTTCTTATTATCATAGCCCCCCGATTTTTAAGCAGTGCCAAGATTATCAGTTAACATAACAAATTTATCTGCCAAATTGGTTGGCAGTTTTAACCATGTTTCCTGCTCATCAAATGAAGAGTTCTGAGAAGGGCACATGTAATCATTATATTTCTAATGTATTTCCTGTGTCTTCCAAAAAAAAATTAACAATTTTAGATTTATCAAGAAATGAAGAAAATGTCATATCCTTCTTTGAAAAAAAAAAAAAAATATTTTATGTTGCATTAAAATATGCAAAAATGGCTACAAAATAATGGGAGCCATAATACGTAGCGTATTCGGAAACTAAGTACCGTTTCATTCTAGTGCCGTCGCAGCGCTGTGGTAGGGGTCCCGCACATGCGCACTAGTCTTTCTTGTTCACTGACTTTCAATTGTCGCCATTTTGGTTGCTCTGTGTTGTGTTTTCAGTTTGCTGTGCACATTCAAAATGTTTAAGATAATTAGTTCTCCCACCGACTGTGAGATTTGAAATATCTGCCTTTGGCGTAAACGTTAAATTGATGTATAAAACCCCACATGAACCATGGGGATGGTTGTTGATCGATGGCTGTTTGCTCCTTCAGTTTTCCCTTTTCTTTTTTAGTCCAAAGGGGCTTTGTCACTGGGGATTATTGTTTTCATTTTGTGATTTTGCATCGGATTACTCTGAATGTTCATTTCACTTTTCAAATTGTTGCCACAAAATATTATCACCCTGTATTATATTTAAAGAAATTAAATAATAAAAATCTGCATAAATGTATGTATGTTAAAATCGCTGATGATAAAACAATGGTACCTAGAACCTCCAGTTTTGAATAACGTACATTTCCAACCGAATATGGGTATGTGGAAGACCAAATTTGAAATTTGGAATTAGTTTTATTATCTATTTCATATTTTGTAACCTTTAATGAATTTTTGATTAACAAACTCAACGATTTAAAAGTGAGCGATGGCAACACTCTACGGGGAGGGGGACCTTTTTATCCCCAGCACGCAGAACTGTGTATCGGAAATTCTAAAGATATGCTCATTTTAAAATTATTTTGCGATATAACTGTTGAACTGAATTTTTATGGTTTAAGTGCAAAGAACATGATATTTAATAAGTAAAGGTACCACACAAAACATTAAAAAAACACCCGTTTGGACGTAACTTAAAGTCTGAAACCTTTGAGGTTTTCTTCTTTTTTTATGTTCTTGGCTGAGTCTAGCTTATGACAGCATTTATAGGTTGAAATGGAAGTGTAATGGCAGAACCTTGCATCATTGGGAACCAAATTTTTCCATCAAGGACATAACTAGACTGTGTCATATGAGTGGAATTCTTTATCGCTGGAACAAAAGAGCTTAGGTGTGTTAGATGTAAGAATTCCAACTCAAATTTCAACAAATTTTGCAAATGTTGAACGGCTTCACACCTCCTGACATCATCTGTTATGCAAATGAGAAGACATGACTGTTGCGTGATTTGGTTGAGCCCATTGTGTCGACGTGCTTGATCATTGCAATCGCAATGCAGTGATCAAGCATCATGATATTGTTGCTCCATTTATTGGGTCCTTTGAACTCTTCTGGAGCTAGTTGCCATAGGAGGTTTGAGTGATATAGTTCCGTCAATTTCCCAGGTGAGCAGGTAAAGGAGGTGCATGTTCTTGCCATGATCAAGTCCACCACTCTAGTGGAGGTTATTTAGATTTTGTAGTCACTAGCTGATTTTGACTCTATGATTAGTATAGTAAACCAGTTGCCCCTGTCATTGCCATTCGCTATTTTAATGGCAATGTTTGTCTATAAAAGTTGCCTATGGATAACCTGTTCATTTGGACTATTGTTTCTGGAGGCAAGGACAGAACTTGTGATATACTGCTCTGTAACATGATGCCTTTACCATTCATGTGAAAAACAGCTGTTTCTGGCTTAAGTGATAAATTGTGTGTAATTTGTGATCAGTATTTTCAGTTCTTCTACACTGCCTAAGAAACCTTTTTGGGAGTTAAAATGGTTGTATAACCAGATTTCAAGCTGTTAGTGGCAGACTAACATTTTCATTCAGTGGTAACATTTCAGAAAATTTAAAAGGAAAAAAAAAAAAAAAATTGTGTGGCTATCATTCAGAAATACCCCATGTTCTGAAATAATAAAATAAATGTGAATTACCTATATAGTATCAGAAACCAAAGAGAAAGGCATGAATAGCACATGAACACATTTCTATAATACTGTATTAAAGTTTTATAATGAATAAATAAAGAAAGAAAACCATTGTCAAGTATTACTGCTACAGTGTTAGATAATATTTTGGACCATTTTCTGTTTTGATGATAAAATGTTCTTTATATGCCTGATAATCATCATGCAGTCAAAGAAGTAAAATGTTTTATGTATTTGTAATTTTATTATTCAAAGATTGTTAGTTTTTTAGATGCAAATTCTGATATGACTGTTAAAAGAGTACTGGGGATATTTCAGAATTAATGTAAATGGTTATGCATATCAGAATTTCATAAATTTAAACACTAAGCATTGTATATAAAAATACAAATAAAAGTATGCAAAGCTGTTAAAGTATAAATATACAAATGCCAACTTGAAAAAATGCATGTTTTAAGATTTTATATCTTGCATAGTGCTGAGAGACAATAAAAATAGATCTTTAAAAAGTTATATAAAGTTGTGTGGGCAGATGAATACTGTTTCAAATTACTCTGGATTGATTGGAAGTTTCGGTTGTGGTGGCAACAAGAAGAAGCCATAGATCTGTGCTGCTGAATGGGTCTGTTAAAGATAGAGTGATTTTGAAGTGATGTTTGAAATCTTCTCATGAAACACTCTAGGAAAATTCTTAAATGCCACATGTTGCCAGAATATTATGGGTGCCACCTATTATCCTTTCATGTTATTTGTGAAACGTGAAGAGGATGGTTTATTTGAACATGAGAGGATGCTGAATCATTGCTATTTAGGATTACTTAAGAACTCTTATCTGAATTTTATATCATCCAGAAGCCTTCATAATCTTGAAGATTTAAATTGTATTGAGCTAATGATCTTGAGTGAAACATTAGTCCAAGCCACAAGAACTGTAATAAGTTAAAACAGTGGTCTGAAACTCAAATTGCGTGTGGGTCAAATGCACAATCTTAAAAGCAGCTGATGGGCCAGATTTTTTTTTTCTCTACCAAACGAAAAATTTTATTAAAAAATAAAAAAGTATTTAAAATAAATTTTAAATTTTGCTTGATAAATAAAAATTTATCAAGCAGTAGTAATAATACTGCAAAGGAAAAATTCAAATTTATATTTATTTTCTATCTGATATGTAAAGTTTGGCACCTGCAAGACATTTTTGTTGGTTACACTTCGTAAATCAAATATACCAACAAATAAAAATTAAATTCTTAGACTGACATTTCTTTCAAATAATTTTTAACATGTTAATTAATCATTAAGTAACTTCTGTTGATTTAAATAAAAAAATAAGCGAATTATATAAAAACTTTCTGAGTTTTCAAAGAAAATTTACCAAGTTTGATAAAACTCGACAATAAATAATAACAACCTAATCTCTTTCTCTCATTTATTAAACTTTCCTTTGACACATAAATAAAAAAATATATATTTATATGCAAATAAACTTTTTTATTTCTTACTACAGCTTGACTTGTGGTGGCAATCCAAGTGATATGCTACCACATGTCAAGTTGAGTCTTGGAAAGAGTTGAGTCTTTGTTGTTGTTGGATAAAGTTGAGTCTTGGAGAGAAGTTACTAGAAATGATTATTGTCACGAATTGTAGATACTTGTTGATCAATCATGTTCTTTTCTGATTAATATTCAACTGTTAAAAAAAAAAGTTGTTCCCAAACAAATGTTTAAAAAAAGTTGTTTCCAAACAAATGTTAAATGTACTCAGCCTAATATAGAGAAGATGCAACACCATGAAGATTTAGCCATATGAATATGCAAATTTCGTGGAATACGTATTGGAACAAGTGGTGCAGATTATGTAAGATGCAAGTTGGTCACGTGATTATAGCACGGGTAAGAGGAAAGGAAAGGAAAGGGCAGACGAATCAACAGTTGTTACTGTCTGCTGCTTAAGGAATCCAGAATTCAAGAAGTTCAACATTTGAGAAGACACATGTGAATAAAGAGATGGCAGGATGATGACATTATTGGCAGTTCTGGCAAATGAACAGTTTTATAAAAGATGCAACCTTACATATGACTGGTTAGTCTTCCCATTGTATTGCTGTTTAAATGCATGTATATGTATATACTGTGCATGGATACTCCAGTACCTGGGACAGCAGTTTCCCTACATTTGGTTGAAAGTAGCTTGTGCACAAGCCCACCTTTTTGAAGACTGCTATTAATGGCAAGTCATCAGCATGGAAGACCGCAATGATGTTGTTAATCAGCCTCTTGGACATCTGTCTTTCAGAATGTAGTATTCAGTGATGAGTCTTAGTTTTGTTTGTCTTATGATAGTAACTAGTTAAGCATCTAGAGGCATTGGGGAGATGGATCCAATTCGACTGCTATTACTAAATTTCATGTCACTCCGCAGTGTGGTATAATGGTTTGGGTGCCATCAGTCTTGATATCAGGTCACCCCTGTTGTGCATCAGAGGCACACTGACAGCTCGATGATGCGTTGATGAGGTGCTGAAAAAGGTTTATTCCAGCACAAGAACATGATATGGCATTCATTAGTTGACAAGCCTTACAGCTTGTCCTTTTGCTTTCTTGGCCTGCGATAGTTGGAATTATACAGAGTTGGAATTCTTGAGCATATCTGGGATGTGATTGTTACATCATTTGTCTGCCCTGCTCCAGGTGCTATCAGAGAAGGAACTTTGGAAGAGGGATCGTAGCTATATGAGCTTCCATCCCTCAGGACACTGTTCCCACCACTGTATAAATTTAGCTTTCCATAAATAGCATCACTTTTTTTTCCACATATGCTTGTTCTGTCTGTGTATCAATTGACATTACATACCACCCAGTCTTTCATGGCATTGCATTTTTTATGTTGCACAGTGTATTCCCAAACAAGGCAATTATTTAAATGCAAAAATTTGTAACTTAGCGTATTTATTTTTTGACAAATACAAATAAAAGTTAATAAAACCTGTATCTTCAAGTCTTTGAATGAGATTTATGCCACAGTGTAAATTAGTCAGTTCCACTGATAGATTTTCTGGCATGTTATTCAGGTTCATTATTAATGGAAATGAAAATAACGTAAATTTGGACTTTAAATTACTAAAATCTTGAAATCTTTACAACACCATAATTGAAATTCCTTCGTAGACCACATAAAATTGCTTTGGGGGCCACATGCAGCCCACAGACTGAAAGTTTGAGACCACTGGGTTAGAAGAACTGTTGTTGTGTTATTTATAACGAATGTGTCTTCTATGTTTTTAGCAGCTTTCCAGCATTTGAGAATTAATACCTGTCTGTCTGTGTTGTCTTTCATGCTAGAAGATGCTCAACAAACTACTAAGGTGATATCATTAATGTTTTGATATTCAGTATGATATTATGGGCACAACACAGCTTCTCCATCTGTTTTATATGTTCATTTATCTCTTTGTTGCAGCTATTTGAACACATTAATGGAATAAGGAAATTTCATTCTTAAATCGTTACAGTTTGCTTTTGTTGAAAGTCAAGTTTTTTTTATTTACACTCAAAATATCTTTGATTAAAAAGTTGTCTTCATTAATAATAAGCAGAAAGTAAATCTTACTAAAATATAGGTAAATTCTTAAATAAAAGTTCCTTCTATTATGTCTTTTTAGGCAAAGAATTGTAAAAATCCTTTTACAGCACAGTATTTAATGATGAAAGTTATGCAGAAAACATCATATAAATGGAATTACAATATCTTACTAAATAAGTCAAACCAAAACAGCAGCACAAATAAAAATTTCTGAAATCCCAAATTTTGCATATAAAAGCATGAAAGAATGCATAAATTAAACAAGCAATTAGAACTATGCATATTATTTCTAATTGAGTAGTAGAATGAATTAATTAAAAAAATGAACTCAAATGTATAGTTTTATATTATCAAAATATACCAAGATAACAAATATCTGAGAACAGCAAACCCAGACTGCTCATTTTTAAAGAGAAGAGACATTCTAGATCTATATAAATTCTTTAAAATATGTATTCTATATATTTTAAAAACTTACATGGCATTGTAGCACAAAGTGTAAAATGCTTAATATATAAATAATTAATAAATTATTAATTTAAATAATATTGTAATTTTGTATAACTCAATTGTACTTTTGTGCTGTTTTTAAATGCGATATGGTTTTTGTATTTTTGAGATTTAACAGACAGAATTATTGATATATTGTGAATAAATAAGCTTGAGTTTAATTATTAACATATTGTGTAAGGATTAGCATATTTAAGTAGTTACTAATATATTGTACAAGGATTAGCATATTTAAATATTAGTGATATATATGTATACTAGGTGTGACACACAAAAAAAGAGACTGTGTTGCTTGAAGAATGACTTGGCAAAATCTGTTTTGGTGATGTCATGCTACCACCTCCATAAGGCGAATGACTTGGCAACATCTGTTTTGGTGATGTCATGCTACCACCTCCATAAGGCCAGTTTGGACTTAACCAATCATGCCATTTGGGAGTACTGTGTCATTGAGTGAACACGTGCAACTGCATTCTGCCGAAAAAATATCTAATGCAAAAACCTAACAATGAATCAACATCAAGTTTCTTGTGAAACTTCAGAAATCAACTGCAGTGAAAGCATTTCAAATGTAAAGAGGCTTATGGAGATGAAACTTTGTCTCCTGCATGTGTATTTGAATGGCATAAGCAGTTTTCAGGGGGAAGGGACAATGTGGAAGATGATGAACTTGCTATAAGTCCCCAGGACATTCATCATGATTGAGTGGTTTCCCTGTGGTTAGACTGTTTATCATCACAACTACATTGAAGTACTAAAAAGACTTCATGAAAAAACTAGTAAAAAAAGGCCACAATTAGGGGTAATGATGAATGGCTGTTGCACCAGGGCAATGTGCCCGCTCACATGGCTATCTGTCGAGCAGGTTTCTGACCAGCAAAAACATTACTGTGATGGGCATCCTTCTTATTTACCTGATTTGGCTCCATGCAATTTTTTTTTTTTTTTTTTTTTTTTTTTTTTTTTAATTTTCGAAAGTTAAATCTTGCTTAAAGAGAACCCATTTTACAACAGTTGAAGAGGTTCAGGCAAAAACAGAGAATCTCCTGAAGGGCCTTCCAGAAACTTCGCTCCAGAGCTCTTACCAGCAATGGCAGTACTGAATGCTGAAGGGGACTACTTTGAGGGTGATAATGGCACAGAGAACTGATTCTGTAAGGACAATGATTTATTGCACCAGTCTGGTTTTGTGTCACACCTTGTATTTTGTAAATGTGTTCTTTTGCTATTGAATAAGAATATTGATGAGACAGGATAATTAATTTGTACTATACTAATTTATGTCATTCCATGTGTGTTAAAAAAGTGAAATCACTTATCTTTGAAAAATGTTCTGATCATATTTATTAATGCTATTTGTATTTTTATAATAGCTGATTTTGTTGAATTTTTATCCACTTTTGATACGTTATCTGAAACCTCATCAAAGAGGTAAGTATCATTTAAACATATGATATCTGGTTTTTAATTTTTGTGTTTGAAATATAAGTGTTCTTTATATTTTGTTTGTTTACATTTCAGTTTTCACATGCAAAAAGTAGTATTGTAATTCAATGAAAAACAATTCTGATACTAGACGTTAATGCCTATTATAATTCAGCAGCTCAAAAGAATGTTTATCATTTCAAATTTTTATCTGTAACTTAAATATTTAAAAATTATTATTTCATAAAGTTCTGTAGTTTGAAGGAGGGCACTGATTGATTTCGTAGTTTCCTGTTTCTATTCAATACTAAAATTCATTATTCTTGAAAATCAGTTAAATGTTTAAAAAATATTCTGATGGAAAGTATTCATGCAATTAATGTATTTATCATGAAGTATTCATGATAAATACATTATGATAAATATCATGAAGTAATTTGTTTATCATGTCATAAAGTATTCATATAATAAGTATGTTTATTTAAGTAATTAATATGTTTATTTAAGTAATTAATATGTTTATTTAAACAATTATGAAATATGTGTATTTATTATGGGATTTTATAGAATGCCTGACAATTTTAGGCAAAATATAAATTTTGAGAATTATTATATTATTATGAATTTTGTATGCATGTAAATAATTTTACTTGCATTATATGTAAAATTGTAGTATATGTTGTATAAATGCTCCAAGAGAGTGAAGCTCCAACAGAAAAATAAGTTTGCAAGGATAGGTCCTTTTAATATTGACATTAAGGTAAATGTATCATTTAAGTTTCATTTAACATTAAGGTAAATGGCTTCAACAGTTTTTGGTGTCTAGTTTTTGTCGTCAAATTTGGCGAGAAATCGCCAAAAATATCCAAATATGGCAACATTTTGGTCCAATCCATGTATAACTGTAACTGGTTTGTTCCCTGTATGTAATTGTAAGTGTATCCGGCCCTGTATGTAACTATATGCTTTTCAGCAATTTTGAGAAATCGATGGTACTGGAAATTTTTCGTTGGCCAAAGGAAAACTGTATAAGACTGGAGGGAGCTTCAGTTGTCAGTTTTTAGTTCATACTTGACTTCAGGGTATTCTCCATGTGAACTTCATGCTTTAGATGCACTTTGCATTGCTTTGTGTTTAACATTCTTTGTAATTTGAAGTGTTAACTACTAATTGTGCTCTGTCATACATAGAAGAGCTGTATGAGTAGTTTTGTGGAAAGTTCTAGAACTGGTGTTTCTTTTGGGAAAATAAATTTTATCAAGCTATCATTGGTTCTGTGTGCATTCAGTCCATTATGAACCCGTAGGCACATAACAATATACTTTTCCTAGGCATTGTATATGATACCTAGGTATTCTATAGGATGACAAATGCTATTCAGGCGAAGTGGTAAAAAAAGCTCATGATAATGCTATTATTTAAAAGACATGCATTCCTCAAAAATACAAATGTTATTTTGAAAAAGTAATGAAAGAATGCCATTAAAAAGCAACTGAAAGTTGTACAAAATAAAATTTCTGTCTTTGTTATTATAGAAAACAATGTATAAAATGTAGGGAATAATGAAATGAATGCATTGATATTCGAAACTAATCACAGATGTATTTCATACTTGCCAATTTGTCATTTGGCATTCTGTAGAATGCCTAAGAAATATATATAATATTAATCACGTCATATATTGCCAGGCAGTTTTGGGATTCTATAAAATCCCTAGTTTCGGCATTCTATAAAATGCCTAGGTATTCTACAGCATGCCGATGAAATGTACGAAATGTTAATCACTTCATATATTGCCAGCCAGTTTTTGGCATTTTAATAAAATGCCTAGGTATTCTAATAGAATGTAGGCTTTTGGACATTACCAGTAACATAATGTATAAGAGCATTTTAGATTTGAAGTATTCAAATTTTATAAAATAGCTCCATTGAAATAGCAAATATTTATGTTAGATAAATATTTTACTCCATAACAGTTTTTTTTTCTGTTTCTGTTTAATCTTAGTTTCATTTCGCCATAAATGAAATATCTAAAAAGTGTGGACACTATATTTTGTAACTTGATAAATTAAGTTTATGCTGTTGTTATATTTTTCTGTAGATGTGACCAAAATCTTAATGTTTGCTGCCCAGGCTGCTCATGAACAAGTACCTCCAGATGTAAGTTACGTTATCTAAAATAATTTAATGTATAAATCAGATTTATTCATAACTAATTATTTCTAATATGCTTATTCAGTATTTTCATAATTATAAACTAATTTACTATAAATGAAACTGGACTGTGTGAAATGTTATTTTATATATAGTTTGTGCTTAAAGAACTAATTTATCTATAGTTTAAAAAGAAATCGAAGTAAAAGTCAATTAAAAGAAACTGTTATTTTTGTTATTAAATAAATGCATTCTTTTGTGTTATAACTTATGTTATTTATACAGTCAAAAGTCGTTAATTCGGACACCCATAATTCGGAATGATCTATAATCCGGACCTCAAAACTAAAAACTTTCTGCGCATGCGCCGCATTGACACATGCGCATAGGCGTTTGCGCGTGCGCGTAAGACCTTTTACGACTGCGCATATGAGTGTGCGCAAGTGCAGAATACGTTTTCGCGTGCGCGTTTTATGTATAATGGACGTATAAGCTAAAATTATCTAATTATCTATTTCAGTTAATGTTGATGATTGCGTTGTTCCTTAATTTTCGAATTGGATCCGGCTTATTATTTTTTGCAGACTGTAAGAGCAATTTTATAAAAGTAAGCTTAAACTTTCGATTATATCAAATAGAATTTCCGATATATATTTGTTAATATGTAAAGAATCTAAAGCGAAAGTATGTTTTGAAATCCGAAATCTGTTTATCAATTTCACGCTGCTCGGCGGGGGGAACGCCGCGACGTAATGAATTGGAAGTTGATCTGTCAACACTATCCTTATCTTCAGCGCAGATGTTTTTATTTTATTTGGCTTATAATTTCTTTACCAAATGTAGTATTTCATCTCGATATGCTCCGTCTTTGATATGATTTAAAACAAGTTCCTCGTCGTTATAATTCGCTTCCGATAGCGAAGAAAAGTGACAGAGGTTATTGAAAACAAAAAAATTTCGATTGACAAATTAGTCGGTGTTCTCGACACAGTTATAGGACTTGAACAGCGGAACTTTGTAACTGAACAAGAAATTATGTCTGTTTAATAGAATTAAAGAGAAAGTATTATCACATGAAACGAAGCAAAACTTAAACAACTTACATTGAAAGAAATGTTTAATAAAGTAAACAAATAAATATTAAGCTTTTTCTTTTTGCAAATTTTGATACCCTTTAGATCATAATTGTTCTTTATTTCATAAATTACGGTTTCATATTTTTAATTTTAGAATTTCTGCATGCCATCTTACGAGATTTAAACTGATGATCTATAATCCGGAAAAATCGATAATCCGGAATTGCCGAAGTCCCGACGAGTCCGGATTAACGACTTTTGACTGTATATTTAAGATGTTATAACTGTAATGTAGGCATTTCTTACTTATCTACAAGAGTGGCAGATATGCAGTAGCATTTCAAAATGAGTATATGCTTAAAAATATAATCTCTGTTTAAAGTGAGGTTAGGATTTCAGTGGCCAAGAACATGCCCACAGTTTGGGCAATATTGAGGAACTGCAGAAATTTAATGTAGAATCTAGTCGGTCTTTGATGCAATTTTGATACATGTTCTGCCTGTTTTATTTCATATATAATGTGAAATCAGAGATATAAGAATGTTATAAGAATACAAATATTTTTCATATAGTATTATTTTCCCAAAAAAATCAAAATAGTGTGGTTGTGAAAGGTGATAATTTTCTCTGAATCAGTGGCTATCAGTCTGTTAAATGTTGATGTTCGTTTGAGATTAGAAAAGAAGATCTGGGGAATGGGCATTGTAGAAAAGTGGCTGTCTCATTTCATTGAGTAAGGAGAAGAATGAAAGTATTGTTGATGTGACTTAAGAGAACAGAAGGGTAATTTTACATTGTTGTATTTGAGTAGCTGATGAGTTATAGTATATTTAGCTTCACTTGAATGTTCTTCAGCATTTCAAAATTTGTGCCAGATGGGTGTGATGCTAAAAAAAGATTAGGCATTTTTCATTGTGTTGTGATTAGAGAAAGATGTATCTTTAACTGTTACATAAGAGAACTTCATTCCACTGAAAGACCTATGCTCTAAAGATAAAATTTAAAGAATGACATCTGTTGGAAAATTTACTATATTCATTTTCTGTGATTTTGCGCATGTGAATTTTTTTCTTATCATCTGTCTAATTGGTTCTCTACCATTCTAAGCAAAATTGGAACAAATTCATTTGTTAAAAATAATAAAGTCTGCTGAGTAAGAGTATCAGTCTCTGTCATGGAAGTGCTAAATTGTAAACTGTCAATGCCTACAAAATGTTCTCCATGAATTTCACTGTTATTTCACTGTTATCACTGTTGTTATCCATGAATTTCACTGTTATTTCACTTGTATTTAAGCCCTAGAGATTTTCCTCTTTGTCTTGCGGGGGGGGGATCCGTCTGATATAGATTTTATGTTTGAGAATAATATGAAAAAATCTACAGGTAAATCAGCAAGAATATGAATTTTTATATGCTCCAAGATGGAAGGAACAAATTGTTTGTAAGGATTGACAGATATTTGAATTGTCAAAGTCATTTGATTAAGGTGTAATGGTTAATATCCTTTGTCTTAACACATACACAGTTGCATTTTTCTTTCTTCATTCAAGCATGTGAACATTTTTTTTTTTTTTTTTAAATTTTCATTTTAATAACATGAAATTTTTATCGTTTGTACTTTGCTCTGCTCATTTGATCACCCTATAAGAAAAGAAAATTTGAAATCTTTTGAGCATTTTATGCCTATTTAAAGTTATTCATTTCTCTCAAAATTCATCAAGTTTACCATTTCTCTCAAATTTATATCTGAACTGAGAAACTTGAATTGGATTCTTATCCTTTCTGCTTTGATACCCAAAATTTAATGTATGAGTTGTCTCATTTTAGTTTTTGCCATGTTTTTATAGTTTATCCTCAGCATTTTATGTCTAGTTTCAAACTTTAAGATTTATATGACTCTGATTAATTTGTGTGTGTGTGTGAAAATGCTTTATTTTATTAATTACTAGTTTATATTTTGGTATTATTATTTTCTGAAGTTTTTTACATACATAGCTTATGTATGTCTTTTTATGTGTTTTTTAATGATCTTTCTTTTTACCCTGTTTACTTTAGGTTATGGAACCAGTGCTTAAAACTATAGCTAACAATTTCATTACCGAGAGAAATTCTGCTGAAGTTATAACTGTCGGGTAAGAAAAAATTTTGGTATAATTTTATAGTCTTGTTATTTGAGAATAAAATAATTCAGTCAAGTCTAGATTTTAAAATTTTCTAAATTGAGCATTCCCCCTCCCCAATTTTCACAATAAAAGAGTTGAAAAAAATCTTAATTCAATCTGTTGAATATTTTATTAATTTTATTAAAATTTTATTATGACATAATACGAGGGCTATCCAGAAAGTAGATTACGTTTTGGAATAAAAAAATAAACAAAGTATAGGAAACAAATTTTATTATATACAGATGAAAGCCACACTCAAATACTACTTTTCTACATAGTCACCATACAAATTAAGGCATTTATCGTAGCGATGTACGAGCTTGGAAATTCCTTCGTCGAAAAATTCGGCCGCCTGCACCTTCAACCACTTCGTTACCTCTTCTTGCCTTCCATCTTGCACAAAACTTGTGGTAACCAAGCTTTTCGCTGATGATTTCGTGCAACAAACTTCGCGAAATTTGTGGAAAACTCAAAGAAAGTTCCGTTTAGTGAAATTTCGATTTTCACGGACTTTAGCATCGACTTTTTCGAGAAGTTCGGCGGTCACTATGCTGGGTCTCCCACTTCGATCTTCGTCGTGAACATTGGTTCGGCCATTTTGAAATCTTATGACCCACTGACGCACTCCACCTTCAGTGATAATGTTGTCCCCATACACTTCACGAAGCTGCCGATAGATTTCTATCGGTTTACAGTTTTTTGCAGTCAGAAACCTTATTACTGAGCGCACCTCGCAGCTCGCGGGATTTTCAATTAACGCAGACATTTCAAACCGTCACAGTATCTGAACGGAGCACAGCACGAACCTCTCACTAGCACGGCTAGATGCAGACTGAGCTGCGCAACGCTCTGACCCCAAGATGGCCGCGCTAGCCCCGCCCCTAGCGGACACAGACGGAAACGTAATCTACTTCCTGGATGGCCCTCGTATCTTTTTCCAGTTTAACAGATTGTTAAATATTTCCAAAATTTTCCTTTTTGGGGAATTTAAAGAATTTTTTGCTTAAAGTGTGAAACTTCCAGATACCAGATTGTTGAGAAATTGCCGGATGTTGCATTTTCGATAGGGGAAAAAGTTACCAAGTGCTAGTAGTATATCTCTCAGTTGATTCAGAATTAAAAGCTCTGTAAATAATTAATAATTTAAATACATAGAGTAAGGAGTAATAAATCTAGCAAGTTTACAAATCTAACAAATTTGTTTATTGTGAGCAAATTACACCATGGAGAATGCTCTAAATAAATAGATAAATGAATAAAAACAGATACATACTAATACAAGAATAGTTAGAAATCATATTACAAACAAATAATACAAATATAGTAACATTTTGCAATAATATTGATTTATTGACCTTCTAAGTATAATATGATAATAATGAAGCAAACTGTGAAGATGATGTAAAAAAATAAAAGTCAGATTTATTTGTGCTCTTTTAAATCTGTAGGTTGCAAGAAGAAAAAAGAAGATGGAATATTTGATGCTTTTCATAAATCTTTATGAAGAAATTTATTGAATTAACTTTTTTAACAAAAGCAGATTTTAATTTCATATTTTTTTATCCTGTTTATATAAATTTAATTTTTAAAGATTTAATCATTACACTTTTTATAGAATACATTTCATGTGGTCACTTAATGACTCATAGTCTTAAATGTATTATTGCAAGTCTAAGTAACTAGTTTGTTATTATTATTATTATTTTTTTTTTTTTTACTTAAAAGTCAAGATAAATTACCTTGTTACTCTTCTGATGTTGGGTATGCTTTTTTCATCAATACTGTATGCAAGATATAGGTATGGTTTTCAGAATGCACGTTACAGAAAAAAGTGTCATCTTTCAGGTCACAGTAATTTGAGCCGTATATAATAAATAAACTATTTTTATAATTGCTGTTGTTAAAAAATATTAATTTTATTAATAAAACATTATTAGATGAAGTAAAGGGTTTTCTTTCATTTTTCATAGTAACAAAGATATTTTAAAGTGAATTTCTGTGAAATAATAATTGTTTTATATGTTGATAAGTAAATGGTATGCCCATTATTAAGCTGTACTTTTGTCTTCTCAGAAAATTATCAAATTATTATTAATGTTTATTCTTATTTTGGTAATAATGTTTTCTATCATTTGTCACTATTATGCTGATCTAAAAGTGTGTATACAAGTAATTATGTGCATTTTTCATTCTGCATTTCATGATATATGTTATATTAGCATATGTGGTATTATTATGTTTTGTATATTTGTTATTAATGAGTATGTTTATTATTATTTCAGTATCAATGCAATCAGGGAGATTTGTATTAGATGTCCTTTTGCCATAGATCGAGATTTACTACACGATCTAGTTCAGTACAAAAAATATAAAAATAAAAGTAAACCATTCAATTTTTATTTTATGAAACATTTGTATCAATAATATAATTAGTAATCGCTTAGTGTACTGTAAAAACAAATTACAGCAGCTCTAGTTTCATGTTTGTAATAATGTTTCTAAAGCTGTAAATTAAATGTGTAATATCAGGAGTGATTGTGGCTCAAATATATCTGGGATTCTAGAATTTCCAGTCTTGGGAAATATAGATTCTGTAATCAATAAATCTATAATATGTAAATCTTTTTCAAATTTTGTTTTTCAACAAATATATTATTTAAAGATTACATAAATTTAAAACTTTTTGACTATATTTAGTTCAGAGAGAGAGGTTAAATTTCTTGTCTGAGCAAACTAAGTTTGCCTGAAACTTAGTTTGCTCATACTAAGCATGCTAAACTAAGTATGCAAAAAAGTTATTTTTGCTGTTTATGTTATACAGAAATGGGCAAAAAATGAGGATATATAAAATGAGAATATGTTCTGGGTTGAAGTATTCAGGATAAAAGAAGATGGCAAACAGAAATACCCAATATTGGCAAAATTATTTAAATCTGTTTTAACTTGCTTCATTATGCCCACATTGTTGTTGAATGTCCGTTTAATTATGTGGGTGATATTATGTCAGATTGAAGAGCTCATTTGTACAGTAATAGCTCAGATGTTGTCAGATTAAACTCATTCTCATTATGCAAAATTATATATGAAGCTTTTGAATAAGAGAATTTCTCTTATGACTGTTGGTAAAGGTTTTAGGAATATTTTAATGCATAACTAGCTAGCTGTTTTTCATCTTCAGCACCTGTTGATATGCATACTGCAAGTTCTAATATTTAAAGAGTTAAGTCACAATTCATTCTTCTACATCAAAATATCTTGCTGATTAAACTAAATTTTCACTTATTAGCAAATATATACATCGTGTTTTGACGAAAGTTTGCTGCCTGTGCAAACAGTTCGCATTGTTATCGTGTTTAATCATATTTTGTTGAGCGATTTTTGGCATTTGAAAGAAAGAGACTTGCTTCAGAACACTGTGTTGTGAAATGAAACTATCACGCTACTAGATTAGAACCCTCATTTACTTCCAGTTCTGTTGCAAGAAGTCAGCTACAGAATGCCACCAAATCATGTGTACAGCTGGAAGTATTAATGTTGTATCATATGACATTGTGGACATTTGGTACTGAAAGTTTAAAAACAAGGACTATGGCATTCAAGAAGCAGAATGCTCTGGTTGGCTTTCTAATGTTAATGAGGCCTGCTTGCAAGAACTTGCAGAATAAGATCAGTATGCAACCACTCGAGAGCATGCTAAGAAGTTAGATGTTAGTGCCATGTCCATTAGTCGTGCTATGCATTGCATAAACTTGATGTACAAGTTTAGTCGGTGGGTGCCACATGAGCTGATTCAAGGAGATAAGGGCAAACGTGTTCGGGCCTGTACTGGTCTGCTCGAATATCAGCGCAAGGAAAAAATTCTGGACCGGATCATAACTTATGATAAAAGTCGATTTACTTCAAGAACACAAGCCAAAAAGGGAATTGGTGTGTGCTCGGTGAGCCCATCGGCAGCATCACAAATCACAATTTAGCTAATAGAAAGATCATGCTTTAAAACTTTGAAAGATTCCTGCCAGTGCAAATATAGTCTGTGCAAACAGTTTGCATTGTTATCGTGTTTAATCATATTTTGTCAAGCGATTTCTGATAATTGAAAGAAAGAGACTTGCTCTAGAACACTGTGTTTTGAAATTTGTAAACAAATATCATTATCATTAAGTACAAGGTGTCTGAAATGGAACTATCATGCTACCAGAATAGAACTATCATTTACTTCTAGTTCTGTTGCAAAAAGTCACTTACAGAATGCCACCAAATCATGTGTACAGCTTGAGGTATTAATGTTGTATCATATGACACTGTGAAAGTTTGGTACTGAAAGTTTAAAAACAAGGATTATGGCATTAAGAAGCAGAGTGCTCTGGCCCGCCTGCAAGAACTTGTGGAAGAAGGTCAGACGCAACCACTTGAGAGCTTACTAAGTTAGATGTTAGTGTCATCATGTCCATTAGTTGTGCTATGCATTGCATAAACTTGATGTACAAGTTCAATCGGTGGGTGCCACATGAGCTGGTTCAAGCAGATAAGGGCAGATGTGTTCGGGCCTGCACTAATCTGCTCGAATATCAATGCAAGGATAAAATTCTAGACTGAATCATCACGTATGACGAAAAGTGGATTTACTTCAAGAACGTAGACTGAAAAGGGGCTTGGTCTGTGCTTGATGAGCCCATCGGCATCATCGCAAAGCGCAATTTGACTGATAGAAAAATCATGCTTTGTATCTGTTGGGATTGCCGTGGTATACAGGAAGAGTATCTGTAAAAAGGTAAAACACTACACAGTAAGGTGTACAGTGAGATGCTAGTCCATTCTGATGCTGCTATCAATACAAAACGTCAAAGTGAGTTCCGGTTAAAAAAGGTAATGTTTCATTAAGATAATGCAAGACCACATATGTCTGCATATACCGGCTGGACTGTGTACAAACCCAAATGTGATCTTTAGCACCCACCATATAGCCCCAACATCGCTCCTTTGGACTTCTTCATTTTTTCACACCTGCAGTCCTATCTTCCATTCTGCACAGGATGTCCGAAATGAGGTTGAACTGTTTTTGAACTTGCGGGCCACCACTGAACTGAAGGCTTTGAAAAACTATCAAACAGTTGCAGAAAATCATAGATTTTGGTAGTGATTACTACCTGCACCAAAGGTACTGCTTTCATATTTGTGTTCTGACTTTATTAAGAATGTTTTTTGGTGGAAAACTTTAGTTACAACAAGATATATATATACATATGTATATAAATGCAGTCATTCCTAGAAAATACCCTCTCTCTCAAAACAAGGAGGGCAACTTTCCAATTATTTTTTTAAAATATCGCTAAACCAAATATATAAGCAACTATATAAATAGGTATCGTGAAACATAAATTAATTTTAATAGATTAAAAGATTATACTTTTTTTTTGTCACTAGGGAAATAGTTTGAAAGTATGTGAATGTATCACAGCAATATGCACAATTATTTAAAATTATGTTGGGCTTTTACTGCACATTATATTTCAGGAATGCAGTTGTAATCACCCCTGATAACGTATACCCATTATATAAAGTGAATGAGACTGTACATGCTACAAACACAAGATTTTTTTCTTAAAATTTAATTAAACAATGTAAGTTTTAGAATTAATATAACTAAATATTTTCAAATTACATTTATAAAATAATCATAAATATGACTGTATGTGTAAATATTATTTAGCAGTGGAGCTGAGTGTAATTTTATAGATGCCTAGATAGCATGGCACTGAATTTAATCCATTATGAAAGACCCATTTGAGGTCTAGTGATAAAGAAGGAGATTGTACATTAGGCTAAGATCATCTGTGATAAGGGGAGAGATTGTGAATCTTCTGGGTTATCAGAAGAATCAGTGGGATATGGAGACCTGACTGCTTTTCTCAGTAATATGTGAATCTGTTGTTACAGTTTTCTTTTGTTCATTAGAGATTTAATTTAGACTGCTTAACAGATGTCTTTAGGTGTTTGCATAAATATTTTTAAAATTTTCAACTGAAATGCCATTTACCCCTTCATCTCTGTTACCATCTTCCACATGTCTCTAATGCAATCTCTCCATTTAATGTAAATAATTCTCTTTTTAGTTATAATACTCTCAGGTGTTGTTACATTGGGAGAACTTTGAAAGTCATATGTTGAAGCAGACACAATTATTTTTTTCTGAATTGCAGCTACTTGTTAAACATTCTTTTCGAGGAAACATCTGTAAACATATAGCATTTAAGCTAATAAAAGACCAACATTAATTTTAAACACTTGTTTAAAATTATCTTTGAATCTTAAGAATTTAGCATTTTGATTTAGAAGTCCTGTCTGAAAAGTTTCATAAGTGTGAAAACATCTGCCACGTCCAGGTAGCTTAACGAAGAATCCGCACAAAATATGAATGCAAGGGAAAATAAAATAAATAAAATGCTGATACAAAAAGTCAAATATAAATACAAATTGAATACACTGAAAAAATTTTAAAAAAATAAACAAGGAAATATAATTTATGTATATATATAATATGTGTATAAATATATTAATGGTACTGCTAAAGTATTGTACACAAGCAACTCTTCCCCCTTTTTTAAAATGAATATGATAGAATTAAAATTTGTTAAAAAAAAGTGTTATTTGATTGAGTAATCTAATTATAATATTTGCTAATGTAAAAATGCTCTCATTGAGTTTTATACATGAAATTTTGCTTATCAAATATTTCATTCCTTAGTATATTGTTAAATTGTAATATATATGGGAGAAAAATTTTAAAAACTAAAAACTTCTTTCATACTTGTGATGAAACTTTTACATCATAGTTATTTTAGTAATGAAACTGTGAGACATAATGCATATACATAGATGGATAGATTCAAAAGATTGCAGTCTAATTTATTTCTAAAATTAAGAAATTTAAATGCTTTATTTTTCAGTATGTTCTCCTTGTACCTTGATGCTCTTTTTACATAATTTAATGAACAATCTTTTTTTTTTTACCCTTCTGAAAAAGTAGTTTGAAGGCTTTAACTCAAAATATTCCATAATGTCTCTTTTTAACTAGCATTATCACTAAATGTCTTTTCACGAAGGTCAGATTTCAATTTAAAGAACAGGTATTAATCACTTGTACCTGAGTCTGGGCTGTAAGGGGGTTAGTCAAGCACATTAAGCCCACATTACTAATTTTGAATGGCACTGCCATATTGCTGTTTTTGAAATGTTAAAAGAAGGTACCCATCATGTGGAGACTTCACCCTTAAGAAGATACTGATTTAGAATGCATAAAAAGTTGTTTTACATGAACCCAATTTTGCTGCTATCTTTTTTACCTTTTATCTCCTATAACCCTACTTCTTCCTGAACAGAAGCAATATTTTCTGATATCAGTGTCTCAGTTGTCCATATCATTGAGTCATCTTCTATGGATTCTTGGCCCATGCAAAATTGTTTTACTTGTTATTTCAGTGTTGAATAGGAAAGAGATGAATTACCGTACAGATGGAACAAGTATGGTTTTATGTTTTTGGGACTAAAGCCTCGTTTCCACTACTGCGTACGAACGCATTGCGTCAATTGAAGACACGCCTACGGCATCCGTACAAGCGTTTCCACTGCTGCGTATCCGTAAAATATTTTCATTTTCCGCCGCTAGGTGTCACTGTAATATTTTGGCGCCAAACAAGCAGTTCGCGAGTTACGACGCTGAACATCTGAATTTTTCCCGCTTAAGCGAGTATTGTTTGTTTTGGATTTGATATGGATCCTGACGTAAAATGCAGAAAAGTTTTGTTTACTAAATTCCATGTTATTGGAAATTTTTATTTCTGCTTATGAACTGCGAAAGTAAAGTACGCTAGCAATTTTTAGATAAGTAAGGTTATAATGCATATTATGAACATCACTAATTCCATAGAAGCTGAAGTAAATTAAAAAAAAAATTTTGCGTTTCTAGAAGCCTTAAATATTATGAAATAATATATATATTATTAAAACTAAAATGTACTGTTAGTGAAAAAATAAACAAATAAATAAATAAAAAAAAGTTAAAGGAATTAAAAAATAGTTGGTACTTTAAAAGTACAGAGCAACTGTAAGGAAAGGTTCACAATATTTACACAAAATTTGCTATGCTTGTATACCGCTGACTTCAGGGTCATAGCTGGATAATTTATTAGAAATCTCGTTTGTTTTAAAATGCACTATGGGCAGTTATATTTTATGCATAATCCATAAAATATTATTTTTAATTTAAACATTTTTAATTCATCTCTTTTATCTCTTTTTATAAGAAGTTATAATAAATTATAAAAATAAGATTTTTCTCTTTATATATACACACATTAGGTAAAGAAAAAATGGAAATATTTAATTAATTAATTCCTGCGCTTCTGCAGGAGAGGACTGGATTTAAAAGCAATTATTATAGTAATTTTTTGTTAAAAAAATGTTTAGGGCATTAATACTGTCTCATGTTAATTGGAATGAAAGTTTAGAGTCGTAAACATCCCAAAGTCTGAGCACATGTATATACATTCACATAAAAGTGAAACGAAAATATATATATATATATCTGCAGGGTTTCAAAATAAATTAAATTTAAATAATTCTCTTGCGCCATTGCTGCAAGGAATGAAATTTGAATTTAACAAACATTTTCTATTCGTAAAAAGCAAATTAAAAGTTAATTAAATTTAAATGAAATTTAATGCAAACAAATAAAGGATTAATTATTGCTGCGAACTAATATACAATATCATTTAAATTCTGAGAGCATATGTAAATCAAGTGCAAGTATCAAAATCCATGAATAAATATATAATTCCAAAAATTTATTTATCCTATTATTCACTTATGCATTTTTATAAGTTTTTTAGGATTAAAATCTATCCTATTATTCATTTATGCATTTTTATAAATTTTTTAGGATTAATAAGCTATCCTATTATTCACTTATGCATTTTTATAATTTTTTTAGGATTAATAATCTATCCTATTATTCACTTATGCATTTTTATAAATTTTTTAGGATTAATAATCTATCCTATTATTCATTTATGCATTTTTATAATTTTTTTAGATTAATAATCTTATCATTTTTATAATTTTTTAGGATTAATAATCTATCCCATTATTCACTTATGCATTTTTATAAATTTTTTAGGATTAATAAATTTTTGGAATTATATATTTATTCATGGATTTTGATACTTGCACTTGATTTACATATGCTCTCAGAATTTAAATGATATTGTAGATTAGTTCGCAGCAATAATTAATCATTTCTTTGTTTGCATTAAATTTCATTTAAATTTAATTAACTTTAAATTTGCTTTTTACGAATAGAGAATGTTTGTTAAATTCAAATATATATGTACAGGATATGCTTTAAATTAGTATTATATAATTTTCAAACTTTTTTGCGGGGAAAATTTAAATAAATAAGAGCATAAATAAAACAATATATTTAATGCATATAATAATAGAAATAAATTATAAAACACGAATATAGATCAAATTGGAATAAAAAGCTAAGAAAGTTGCAGACATGGTGCAAAAAGCGTATGGGATTCGAACTCACGACTCCCCAAAAAGTAAACATCGTTACCATCAGCTTTACCACTAAGCTAGGATTACACGTAGTCGCATGCATATTTTGGGTTATATACATCATCAAGTAAATCAATTCTTAAAACTTAAGTTTTTTGGTCCTATTTCAGTGTGCTATTGTCTGAAAAATTCACCAGAGTTTGTTCTTCAGCAGCTTCTAGTACATTTTTACAAAAAACATTATCTTTTAAAGTGGCGTTCCGATTGAAGTTAAACGGGCTGCTAAAAATATATTTCATGTGCTTACAAATATATGTTATCCAAAAAGATATATTTATAAAGGGAAATACAAATTTAACATACTCTTTAATGAGGAGTATTTAAAAGGCTATCAAATTTAATTTATAATTAACGTTTTTTAGTTTTTACCTGTTTCAAAAGAAAAAAATAACAATCTTTTAATCATATCTAATTTGCTATAGCAGTTTGATATAGTCAGACATTCATTTTCATTAAAGCTAAATGAGTATGCAGAACTAGGAAATGATTATCAGAACAAATTTTGCTATTTCATGGACTTGGAATTATAATTTTTGCCGCTGATTTTCTTGAACTGAATTTCTTGAACATTGTTTTATCTGCAACAAGTACTGTAGTTGCAGTTATCTTATTTTTCTTATCTTTTTTAACTAAATTCAGCTGATTGCTGTCTTTTTCAGCACGCAGATTTCTCGCTATAATGTTAATTCAGAAATAAGTATTTTTTAGCAAAACATTCTTTCCCTAAGCGAGCGTTCATCGCTACTTCTGCCGCCATTAATTTTTGGTGACTACACCTGATTGCTCCTTTTTTTACCACGTGACCCCAACGCATCCGCAGACATACGGATAGAAGTTGAACATTGTTGAACTCCATCCGTATGTCATCCGTCACCGCACATCGACGGGATTGCAGATGTCAATCAAAGTGAAGTCGCTCGCTGATTGGAGAAACGCATAGACACCGCAACGCATACGCAGCAATGGAAATGGGCCTTAAGACTTACTTTAATCAAAATGTAATCACAGAATATATTTACTGTGATAAGGTGGGTGTGCACTCCCAACTTTTTGATGCAAGGTTTTTAAAATTTTTTTGAATATTTTCATATTTTCTCCTTCCTTAGTGCTCTACTCTTAGTGTTTGTTTCCCTAAGTTTTAAAATGGATTCATCCATATGGGAATTGTTTTTGTCGTACTAACAAAGACAAACCCTCGCAAATCACTTGCGAAGATTATCCTGAACCTTTGCCTTCTAATTGTTGAACTTTACGCCATCCTAATGCAAGAACTGACTCATCAGAGCGAAGGAAACATAAACTAATATCAGTATATGATTTTACTGAGTCAGCTGCACCTTCACTTTCTCTAATAATTTGTGGATGATTTTGAGGTCTAGGGAGTAGCAGGGACAAGAATAAGAATGGGCTAGTTTCAAGTTACAGAGAAGTGGAAATGAAGATATCTTATTGGATGTTCTAATGTTGTTATAACTGTGTACTTTTATTGGAATGAAGATTTCTTTTAATGAGATAATATTGTGAGAATTACCTGTAGTTTATCCATTAATATTTTAAATTTGTTATGTTCTGTTGCCATGTCCTTTGAAAATTAAATTATTCACATAATTTTCTGTTCATTTTTAGATAATAAAATAAGTTAAATGGGGGGGGATATGCAAGGGAATAGGGTAATACTCAGTTTTAAATATTTCAAAGCATTACAAGCATACTGAATGCATCACTTAATTCAGTGAACAGTCAAGAGAAAATTAAAAAAAAAAAAAAAAAAAAAATTCAGTGTCAAAAGTTTCAAATTTATTTATTTAATATTGCCACTGGATGTTTACAAAAGGAATTTATTTCCAATGTATTATGTGTGCAGCCAGAAACTTTTGTATCTATCTACATAATTTCTTATTGCTTAGAATTATTATTATTTTTTAAGATTTGAATTTTTAAAATATTTTCTGTGTATTAATTTTAAATGTCATTATCTTATTAAAGATGTCATGATGGCTGCCCGGTCTTTGATTCAGTTGTTCCGACGTATCAACCCTAATCTCTTACAAAGAAAGTATCGGGTGAGTTCCTTTATGCATTTTTATATACTGCTGCATTATTATATGTATTTTTCTTTTTCTGTTCAATTTTCATTCAAAATGGAATTTTAATTTAAATTAAAATATGTATTTATATTCCAGAACAAACCTACAGAAGCAATCAAAGAACTAAAGCCATTAGAATATGGAGCATTAGATGCTAAATCTTATGTTCCTGGTGCTGAAACATTGCCTCTTGAGCCTTTAATAGAGGATGTAACTGGTAATTTAATTTCTTTTTCATTTTCATTTGTCTTAAATTGTTAAAAGGAATTAAAGTTGTAGATATGTGATATGTTTTTATTTAGTATTTAAATATTCTTAGGTGGTGAAGTAGTTGACAGTGATGATGACAGTGAAGGTAGCTGGGTTGATGTTTCTCATTCGGAAGATGAATTGATGGATTCTGATGAAGAAGAGGATCAAGATTCTGAAACAGTATAGTTTTTCATTTAAATTTTATTATTGCTTTAATTTAAGTACATAGTCATACTTGTTTTATATTAAGTACTATTTGTATTTTGTTTTTTAATCTCTATCACTGGTGTCATTTTGTAATGTTTTCATAAATTATGCATAGAAGTTAAACATGCATTTAAAAAAGGGTGTTTAGATTTTGAATAATTTTTATTAAAAATTAATAATCTAATAATATTAATATATACTCCTTCCACTTATTAAATTCACTTAAAAAAAATCTGAAAGCTTTCAGATTTTACATTATGCCCGAAGTGACTTCTTTTAACCTTTTGTGTGTTACCTTTATTTATTAAATATTCTTTGCCTTTAAACCATAAATTTCAATTCAACAGCACTATCACAAAATAATTTTAAAATGAGCATATCTTTAGAATTTCCAATACACAGTCTCTTGCGCTAGAGATAAAAATGTCCCTCCCCTGTAGAGTTTTGCCATTGCTTGTTTTGAAATCATTGAGTTTGTTAATCAATAATTCATTGAAATGTTACAAAATATGAAATCAATAATAAAACAAATTCCAAATTAGTTCGGTAGAAGATTGCATAATTCAAAATTTGATTGCTGTAGGTACCGTTGTTTTATCAAAATGTGAGAAACATACATACATTCCTGCAGATTCTTCATTATTTAATTTCTTTAAATATAATGCAGGGAGATAATATTTGGTGGCAACAATTTGAAAAGTGAACCGACATTTAAAGTTTTCAACGCAAAATGCAAAAAATGAAGTTCATAGCCCTTCTAGGCTAACGCTCTTTGGGCCACCCAGCCGGTTGTTACATTCAAATTTCCAGGAACCCAAACAAGTGCATACTAATCAATAATAATAATAAGAAGAAGCCCATTTTGTCAAACTCATCTCCACACCTTATAAAACTCAGATTGGCAAAAGACTGATTCCTTAGTGCCAGAACATCGTACTTATCAAAGCTTTTCATAGCTCATTCATTTAACATATTATGGATCACGGCTTCATCATTCAAGTATGTAATGCTTCAATAAAATGGCTTTGACTGAAATTTTCCTATTGTGTGTACCTGTGAAACACTGTTTTCAGAGTTATTTGTCCGCAGTGGATTTCAGAAAGTCAAAACTTCCTTATCTTAAAGTTGTTAGCAAAAACGTTCCCCTAGAGACACTGTAAATGAGCGATGGTCCTTTTTCAAATACCAGCTGATGGGAGGTGGAAATGCAACATCTTATCTTTAAAGATTTTCACATTCAAAAATCTTTCCTTTGGGATAGACATGTTATGTTCACAGAGTTATAAATAAAGTTCATAAAATATTTCTTAGCAATACATACTTTTACGAGTCTTTGAATGAAAAGAGGGGGTAATTGTAGACTTAGATAAAGAAGGAAAGCATTAGTCATGTTTGTAATCATGAATTGGCAGATCAATTAAAGAGACAAAGGGTGATCTTTCTGCTGGCTAGAAAAAGTAAGTTTTAAAATTTTATAAATCTCTGGAAGAGGTATTTTTTAAATCTATCTTGTGCTTAACTTGAAACATGTCAAAAATGCCATGCGAAATGACTTAAGCCTGAAAGAAAAGGAAGAAATTGTTAAAAAATTCTAATGTTCTTGATAATTGCAGCCAGAGAGAAACTAAGTTTAAAATGAGAATTTCCCAAACAACATTATGCTATTTACTTGAATAAAAATTAATGAAAGAATAATAAAAGTTCAAATGTCTCAAAAAAGAGGGGGGGAATTGAAAGCATTGTAATTTCTTTTCTAGAATGGTTTTAAGCTAAAATGGGTTTTTATTTCTAAAGGATTTTGATAACTGGATAACAGGCTATTTACTCAGCCTGCTAAATTAATACAAGCCAGACACAGATTTTAATACAGACAAAATTGGATTGCTTTGCAAAACATAACCAGATACATATTAATATTTTAAAATGAAACAGTTGTTGGTTTAAGAAACTGAAGGAATAAGTTACTGTTTCATTAGCATGCAATTAACAGGATAGCACTGGTTGCTAACAAAAGTGGGAAACCTTTGTGTTTGAAGGATCCAAGACTTCAAACATTTGATGAATGGATATGATTTACCATAGCAGCAAGAACTTTTGGATGACAAGTAGTATTTTTACCAGTTCTCTTAAATGGGACAGCAAATTGAATAAGATAAAATAGCTCTACTAATTAGATAATTTTGCAGCACATACACCTCTGATATCTTTCTGTAACACATTTATGTCTATTCCTACAAAAACAACTTCTAACATTCCTTTAATTTAAAGCTTTTAAATGTCATTAGAGAAAAGATATTCAGAAAATGATGGAATAGAAGTGAATTCTTTGAAAATGCAAGCATTTCAAAGAGCATAATTAAGTCGATATCTCTACTAAAGACCATGCATATTGTAGTCAATGTAAGGGGGTTAATTTCTTAAAATCTGTTTTCAAAAATGTGGCTTTCATATAGCAAAATCCTCTTAGGAACTGAATTGTAGCTAACGTTTCAGATATCAGTGAGTGAAGTTATTAACATTCATTGAAATGTGTATCATTCATTTTACAACAATCTGTATAAAAACTTATTATGAAAGTAGTAAAAAAACTGCAGAAATGAAGCAGAAACAATGATGACATGCCATCCTCAGTCAAATCTAGAAAAGCACTACAGATTCTGAGAAAAACTGTTGAGCTAAAAGGTGCTAATCAAGAATGCTCAATGAAGTTTTATGAAATTAAGAATGCAACTAAGAAACTGTTGAACAATATGAAATAAACACAGGAATAGTTGTAAGTAAAAGGTTGAATTTCACCAAGAATGTAATTATAAAAATATTTTTATAAATTTAAAAAAAAATTATTTTCAAAAATTACATAAATTAGTGTAATTTAGTATTAATTTTTAACTGCTGAATTAATTTTTAGTTATTATTTTATTTGAAAAGTTTAAAATTGTTAGTACAATTTACACTATACAATCGCCATCTGTTGAACTCAGCCCCTTAACCCTCTCAGCGTTACAGATGAAAAATTCCATATAGAAGGATGTCTTGTATTCATAACACACGAAAATTTCTGCCAGCTTTTAATGTATATGGTTTCAGGTTGGATGTTTATTGGAAGAAAAGAAATCAAGGTACAAAGAGAGAGAGTCTGTTTGTAATTATAATCAAGAAAATAGCATTTATTCCTGACATTTTGAGGAACTTTGAAATTTCAGGGCTAAACATGTAATGCTCAGAGGGTTAATAAACTCCAGTAACGTTTGGAATAGAAGGTTTTTAGTAAGCGGCAGGTATTGTATATTGTAATTAAGAACTCTCAGTATGTTTCATGTGTATCCTCACATTGTTCAAAGCTGTAAAGAACTTATAATATTGCTGTTAACTAGTTTTATCAATCAATTTCTTCTGATTAATACGCTCTTCTGAAAATGTTACTTTTTTAGCTTTGAAAACTATGTCTAGCTTCTGAAAATGTTAGAAGTGCTTTACTTTAAAACTCCCATTTTGATCCATTTCACTTTTCAAATGGCGCAACCAAATGTTATCGCCATATACAGTCAAAAGTCATTAATTCGGACACCCATAATCCGGACCTCAAAGTCGCGTTGACGCATGCACATAGGCGTTTACGTGTGCGCGTAAGATCTTTACGGCTGCGAATATGCGTGTGCGCGTGCACATAAAACGTTTACACATGCACGTTTAATGTATAACGGGCAGTATAAGCTAAGCTAAAATTATCTAAATCAGTTAATGTTGCAGATTGCGTTGTTCCTTAATCTTCGAATTGGATCCGGCTTATTATTTTTTGCAGGCTATTAGAGCAGTTTTATAAAAGTAAGCTTGAACTTTCTATTATATCAAATAGAATTTCCGATATATATTTGCTAATATGTAAAGGATCTAAAGCGAAAGTATGTTTCAAAATCCGAAATCTGTTTATCAATTTCACGCCGCGGCGCACAATGAATTGGAAGTTGATCTGTCAGCACTATCCTTATCTTCAGGGCAGATGTTTTTATTTTATTTGGCTTATAATTCCTTACTAAATGTAGTATTTCATCTCGGTGTACTCTGTCTTTGATATGATTTAAAACAAGTTCCTCGTCATTATAATTCGCTTCCGATAGTTAAGAAAGTGACAGAGAGGTTATTCAAAACGAAAACATTTCGATTGACAAATTAGTCGGTATTCTCGGCACAGCAATTATAGGACTTGAACACGGAACTTTGTAACTAAACAAGAAATTATGTCCTGTTTAATAGAATTAAAGAGAAAGTATTGTCACATGAAATGAAGCAACTTAAACACTTACATTGAAAACAACTTACATTGAAAGAAATGTTTAATAAAGTAAACAAATAAATATTAAGCTTTTTCTTTTTGTAAATTTTGATACCCTTTAGATCATAATTGTTCTTTATCTCATAAATTACGGTTTCATATTTTTAATTTTGTAATTTCTGCATGCCATCTTACCAGATTTAAACTGATGGTCTATAATCCGGAAAAATCGATAATCCGGAATTGCCGAAGTCCCGACGAGTCCGGATTAACGACTTTTGACTGTATTATTTTTAAAGAAATAGTAAATATAAAAAAAAAAAAAAAATGTATGGCAACACAAATAAAATGATGTTTGCCACCAAATCATGTATTATTTTTAAGGAAATAATATAGGGAATATAAAAAAAAATCTAGCAACATTTAACACTTTACTGGAAATTCTAAATGTATCTAATAAAATATTTTTAACTTCCATTCACTATTCTATTGCCCTTTGGAGAAGTGCAAGATATTTAATTTTTCTTTTAATCTTCCTGTTACAAATTTAAGCGTAAAAAGCAATAAATGCTGTTCTTTCTGTCTTTTATTAATTACCACTGGATCTGTAAAATGACTAGTTTAATTTATTAAAAGTATTATTAATAGTCATTTTTTAAAAAATTATGATTATTTTGGGTGGTAACACAGACAGCCAACA